CCATTCAGCATACTGTAGAAAACACAAGCCATGCCCACTGTTTGCTCATTTAAAATTTCGTTTCTCAAACTGCGTCACGTCACTAAAAAGAATAACAATCACAGCTTCCAGTTTATGGGGACTTTAAATGTCCCATGAAGTGTTTTGAAATGTGCATTTCTATTCGATTTTTGGCGCAATCTCAACCAAAACATGAAGAAAGGGTGTGGCATAGTGTAGCTTCTCTCCCTTTTAAAAAACAGCCAAATGCATTTTGCTTTATCACTGCATTGCCAGTAAGAGTGGTTGAGCTCAAACGCATCAAATGTGAATCGTCTTGAAGGGGGTGGGGCATGTCAGATAATAGACAGCATTTAATTGGTCACAATTTAATGAGAAACTGACGTATGAGGTGATGTGACAGAAAACAAAAAAAACATTGATGCATTTAAGCAGAAGTGACAAACTCCAGGCTTTACATGTTTATATCTGTTTTATATCTTCTAAACACACAGCTGGAAGTGCATCCGCTGCATAAATCATATGCTGGATTAGTTGGTGGTTCATTCCCCTGATTAAAAGAGACTAGTCGGAAATGAAGGAATGAATGAACAAATGAACACTAAAATTTCTAAACACTAATTTTTTAACTTTTTTGGAGCACACTAGTTTACAGATATCCTAAAAACTAACAACACCAATACTAACATCTAAAAAAAAACTTCCACCATAAAAAAACTACAAAAAAAAACTTTTACATACAAGCTTCTAAGTGCCATCTGTAAATTTCTTGTAAAACGTTCAGTAATTTCTTTTTTTTATGAAGATGAATAGGTTCTTTCATTGCCTTTGAAGTGAAATAGCTGAGAAAATGCTCATTTTACAAGAAAGAATGTTTAGAAGGCACTTTAAGGCTTTAGCGTCAGAACTCTTCATATTTACTTAAACGTCGCTCTTGGCAGTGTGGACATCATTGGGTTTTAGTTTAATTGTTGCAAAGGTATTTTAACTTATTTTTTTTACTTTAAAGCAAAGGTCAACAACAAAAGGAACTTTGTTGTAAAATATATCATGGCTCTGAATTACGTTCAGTCTATTGTCAGTTACAAGCAAAAAGTTGTTGGCTGCAGTTTCACCCACGTCACGGCCACCGGTGTCGCTAAATAAAGGTTTTGTAATCTACATGTATTCTTTCATTCATTTTCTTTTAAGTTTAGTCCCTTTATTAATTAGGGATCACCACAGCGGAATGAACCACCAACTTATCCAGCGTATGTTTTACGCTGCGCATGCCCTACCAGCCGCAACCCAACACTGGGAAACACTCATGCACTCTTGCATTTACACACATACAGTACACTACGGCCAATTTAGTTTATTCAATTCACCTATGCGGGCAGCACAGTGGTGCAATGGGTAGCACAATTTGCTCACAGCAAGAAGGTTGCTGGTTTGAGCACCGGCTGGGTCTGTATGGAGTTTGCATGTTCTCATGTTGGGTTGTGGCAGGAAGGGCATGTGCTGCGTAAATGTGCTGGATGAGTTGCTGGTTCATTCTGCTGTGGTGACCACTGATTAATAAAGGGACTAATGCTGAGTTCAGACTGCATGATTTTCACAATAGTCATGACACAGATATTTTCACTTTACATAACTATGGGTTAGCATTCTGTCGGTGCTGTGTTTACACTGTATGGATCGGCGACAAGAGGGTTCACACTGCATGACTTTATAATAGGGTGATGCACTGACAACTTACAGTAGTCCAAACTACGTCTCACAACCAAACAAACGCAAGTAGTGACATGGAAACAATGCGAGGTCACGTGATGTATCTTTCGTCATTAACTTCATAATGGAAAAAAGAAGGCTTTAGCTTAATAAACCTGTGTTGCTCACCTGGCTTTTAAAGAGAATTAGCAATCTCTCCCCAACTTTCTTTAACTTTTTGACCTGACTGTGATATCATTCAAATGACACGTCAGTCACAGTGCACCTGTTAAATTTACACTAGTTTTTCCTCCATTTCTTGGTTCCAAATAAAATAAAAATTAGTGATTTTACCCTCCCCCCAGCCCCCTTCTGGCCTGCAGGTACCCATACTAGTGGATGCTGCTCTCTCATAGGTTGTAGGTGATCGTGGGTGTTTTTGTCAGTCAAAACACATTTCACAAGGCATGATTTGAGTCGCCGACAGCTCAAGATATTTAGCACCCCAAATATCTCATGGGTGTTGGCGACTCATCAATGATTCTGTTATATCACGTCCTTGATAGTTCATACTGTGTGATTGTCACTCACGTGAACGAGCACAGATTTGCCTATGATTTCAGGCATTTGTCGCTGAGTCAAAATCAGGGCTAAAATCATGCAGTCTAAACTCGGCATAAGCCGAAAAGAATGAATGAACAAATCTCTCATGTCTTTGGACTGTGGGAGAAACCTGAGCACCCGGAGGAAACCCACACAAACTCCACACAGAAACGCCAACTGTCCCAGCCGGGGCTCAAACCAGCCATCTTCTTGCTGTGAGGTGACAGCCCTAACCACTGCACCACCATGTTGCCCTGTATACAACATTTATGCCAAAAATAAATAATAACCACTAGATGCAAAAATTGAGTCTTGATTTTCAATCAGTTGTTTTTCAGTTCAGCATATCTTCATCTAACTCAATAACATGACCCAGATACACACCTGTATGCACATGTACTGTATGATGTGTGTTTGTGTATGAAGGGCCGCTGGCAAACACACCCAGTCACTCAAGATTACGCTCTCAGATTGACAGGGACATAAACACACTGCAGCAGCATGTGACAGATATTCTTTTTTCCCACCTACCTTGACTGACACCTGTCCCTGCACATATATTTCACTTTGATACACCCTCCATCAGACCCCTAGACACACAAACACATGCATATTGGGTTTTCATGTTTAATTGGGACTTCCCATAGACTTAAGGGACATAAAAACTGTATGTTATGGCTTTTTATCCCAACCCTGCTCCTAAACTCAATCCTTATAGCGGTGTTAATTTCGTCAATGAAAATAAGGGTGAAAAATGTTCTTTGCTATAGCTTGACACAAACAGAAACTTGACAGATCCTCTGTGCTAGCACACTGTAAAACAGTTTGTTTCCTAATGTGTGTACTGTGAAGATTTGCAGTGTGTTGTCTTTTTGTGTTTGTATTGTGAGGATTTGCAACACATTTGATGTCAAACCAATGATGTTTTCTTAATTTGCTGGTGTTTAATCTATTTGCATGTGGTTTCTAAAGTTGCAGCATGTTGAGCTCTCTTAGCCACCGTAGTAGAAACTGTAAAAGAAATGCCTATATGTGGTAAACTGCTGCAATTAATGAAAGAAAATGCAGCTTCAGATTAATGATTTCTCAGTTATTGCCTAGGCTTGAGATCAGAACAGAAAATTGATTAATATTGAAGAAGTTCAATGCTTGGAATATGGATAAAAATTATGCAACACACATAAAGAAAATAATTTTAAAAATGGCATGGGTATATTTGGCAGCAAGTCAACAATCATTAAATATAGTATACACAATGCTGAGGACAGTCATTTATATCAGTCCTTAGAACAGCAATATGGAGCCTAGAGCACATAATCATTCTCAGTCTCAGGGCTGCAGGTGGAAATGCAGATGAAAAACTAAGAAAAACTTCTCTTTGAGAGAATGAGTAAACTGCACAATATAGTAATTAAGTATTGAAGAATTAAATTGTAAAAAACTAGAATTATGTCAACAAAAAATTTAAATAACCTTTTCATATATCATTCTTTTCAAATATAAGTGTTAAGAGATGGTGTCAATTTTTACTGGCCACGCAATGGATGGAAACACAATGAATAGACATACAGTAATACAACATTTCAGCTCATTGTCTGCATTACAGGGTTTTTACAACTATTAAAGAGATCATCTTCAAGACAGGACTTTCTGTATGAAATATATACAAAATTTATACTAAAATGAAAGAGAAAGCAGTCTATAAATACCTACTCATCTACAGGAGTAGAGATGAATAAGTTTGCAGAGAATCTGACTTAAAACTTGCTCAAAGTAACGCTGTTTCTATCAAACAGTCAGTTTAATGATGAAGGCACTGATCCAATAGGCCTATTGATGGAATGTTTGCAAAAAAAGGTCATGCTTCCTTGTAAAAGTATTTTGTAGTATTTTTAAAGTGTATTTTATGTTGATACACGTTGTGGCTGTTGTATTTTGTAGTTTATTTTGATACACTTAAAATTGATGTGATTGGTATTTTATTTTGAAATACATTTCAATGTGTTTTTGCCCATCCCTGTGTCTATAACTTCCAAATCCTGACAGGGGGAAAATCTAAACTTGTATTTATTAAAACAAATATGAATATGCATATGATAAATAATAATAACATTATACAAATGCAAATTGTCATGAATAAACTTAAAAAGCACCCCAAAGAAGGCATGAAGGCAGTGGTTTTTATATTTATGTAGAAAATAATAATTTTTGTAACATTTTAATCCTTTATTTTTTTTCTCATATGTAAAGATATTTGTGTATTGCTTTACATCCCTTGTGTATTAAGCTATGTGTAAGTGTTTGAACCTGCATAGGCGCATAACTAACATGCTCTGCGCTGGACTTAAGACCAGCTTTTAGTTGGTTAATGGCGTGGCCTATTTCAGCTCCTCAAAATAGCAATATGCTAACAATGTGCCTTAACACACCACCTTTTTAGAGCAGCACACCAGTGAGTCCGCAAAGTGGTGCAAATGGATTTGCTATTTAAACAACTTGGTGCAAAACGTGAAAATTACAGTTGCACTGGTCTGAAAATAGCAACAAATCACGCCAAACACATTTTGCACCTTTTTGCACTGCGTGTATGATATCTTGGTCTCCAACTATTAGGACCACACACATGCGCTTTGTCTGTCCAGTCTCTTGGAGTCAGTCATTTTATCAGGGTCACGCTCTTCTAACCTTCTGACATGTTACTCTTGCAGACTGTGGACTCAATGTGCACAAGCAGTGCTCCAAACTGGTGCCCAGTGACTGTCAGCCAGACCTGCGCAGGATCAAGAAGGTTTTCAGCTGCGATCTCACCACACTGGTCAAAGCACACAACACGCCGAGGCCCATGGTTCTGGACATGTGTATCAGAGAGATCGAACACAGAGGTACTGAAATGCTGTTCTACGCTAACATTTCAACCTTTTTTCAGTCACCGTGGCCTTCAGAGCAACACTTAATCACTGTCTGTCAGCATCTAAACAGCTGCGCTTTACTCTGCTGTCAAATATCAAGACATGCAAAAGAAGCTTTAGATACCTTAGCTTAAAAAAATTAAATTCTGTCACAATTTTCTCGCTTTTTATTGTTTTAAACCTTTATGAGCTTATGAGGAACTTTTTTCTGTTGAACACTTAAGAAGACATTTTGAAAAATGTTAAAGCCTGCAACCACTGACATACATTGTATTTGTTTTGTTTCTACTATGGAAGTCAATGGTTACAGGTTTTAAACTGTATTGAAGATATATTTTGTGTTTAACAGAGGAAAGAAACTCAGAAATAAAGGGTTGGATCTACTTGAAAGTGCGTAAATAGTGAGTAACCTTTCATCTTTGGGTGAACTATCCATTTAACTACTTTAAAGAGCAGAGAGGAAAGCTTACATTCTGCATATTCTGACTTCAAGAGAGCATTCAGTTAATATATTTTAGCCATCAATCATTCTTACAGTTAAGGAAAGTAACAGCACTGAACATAACAAAGGAAGAAATTACTTGCATTTTTGTTTATTTTTTTAAGCAAGATCTGTTGAATATTTTCTCCAGTCATCTATAGTTCACTGTAAAAAAAAAATCTGGGTTCCACACAATCGATTTGTGTTAGGACAACATGAAACAATTAAGTTAACATATTAGTTTCTACTAATGTACTAGGATTGAAGATATATCATTTAAGTTCGTCACCTAAGAATAAAAAGGTTCTATCTGATATTCCTGTCAAAATTGAGTTTTTGACATTTTTATTAAATGACCTCTTATTTACAGTTGTTGTTTACATTTTAAGACTTTTTATTTAAAAAAAGGAATGTTAGACACATACTGTTTGCTATATGGAATGCAAAAACTTTTAAGCTCAATTTCTCAGATAAACCTTATAATTCCAAGGTGATGAAATGTAATGTTTTTACAAAACAATGTTTTTTGAGACCATAATATTGGAAAATATTTTATCTATTTATTTTGTTTTGATTATTGATTGACAGTACACTTGTTACAAACCACAAACTGTATGAGTTTCTTTTTTTCTGTTGAACAAAAAAAGATATATATATATATATATGGGGTGTAACGATTCAAAAATCACGGCTCAATATGATACAATGGTGTCATGGTTTGGTTCATTTTCGATACAGCAAAAAAAGAAAAAAGCCAGAGGATTTCTCTGATTTAATTTTTTAATGTATTAAACTAACATCATAAAAGTATCATCCTGTTTTTTTTTTTCTTTTACTTTAAACAGTGATAGAGCTCTACTTCCGGGGTTCTGCTTAGCAGCAAATAAAACAAAATCCTTCCTTATAATCAAAACCAAAAAGCTTCCTATAAAAAATAAATAGGTTATTGTAGCAGTTAAACAAATAAAAAGATTTAGTTTTTTATAGAAATCAGTTTTAATAAATTTTTAAGTATTTTTTTTTTTTTTTAGAAAGATGAGTGTCCACCTTTTCTTCAGACAGCACAGATCTGCTTGATTTGATTGTCACCTGCCATTTTAGTGAATTTGAAAGCAGGAATTATCTGACTGAAATGGGCTTATGAAGGAATAATGTAACGGGGCTCTATTACATTTAACATTTTCTTAAAACTTTTTTTTTTTTTTAAACATTTTCTTGAAACTTAAAATTTTCACTACCGATTAAGATCTCTCAGATGTTTTTTTTCCACCACTCTCTTGGTAGCGGTGATGGTGCGTGACGTATCTGAAGAGCGGTGGAAGCATCTGCATGTAATGTACCTGAGCAGCGGGAGTGAGTTGTGCCCAGCGTACCTGAAGAGCTGGGAGGGATGCGGTGGAGAGGGGTGTGCGACATATTTAAAGACCGGGGGAGACGCACGATTTCCAGAAGATTATCATTCGTTTGTGGGCATCCAGGAGTCTCCCGAAGCTCCTGATGTTTGGGATTACATTACCATTACTAGCCATTTTACGAGCTAGTGTAGCGCTTGTTTGGAGTAGTGTTTGGAGGTTGGCTCCTTTGTGTCAGGGGTCCTGGGTTGCTGGGGAAATGGGGGCGGAGCCAGCACAAGCAGCCAGGCTGACACAGAAGCCAGCAAGATTGCTAATGAGTGCATGTTTTAATAAAGTGATATTCTGAGTTCATGACAGTGGGGAAGGCAGCATGTTGTCTGCCACGTCATTTGGGATGCCATGTTGAGCGTTGTTGCACTGAAAACATTATATTTTGTACTTATTCCCTTTTATCTTTTTAGATGTTAGTCTGAATTCAATCGTCCGGTTTGTAATGCGTACCGAACCGAAAGTCTCGTACCGAACGGTTCAATACTAATTCGCGTATCGTTACACCCTTAATATATATATATATATATATATATATATATATATATATATATATATATATATATATATATATATATATATATATATATATATATTTGTGTGTGTGTGTGTGTGTGTGTATTGAAGACTTTCTTTAAAGCAACTGCAGTTGCAGTCCAGACCATTCAGAATTTGTGAGGATCCCTGGTCTAAATTAAGTAAAGATAATCAGCAGATGATAGATGCACTGTGCTATGTGCAGATTATCCAATTTATCAAAGGAACAACCAGCAGATGAATTGATTATTCACTTAAAGTTGTTGGCTGCAGTCCTAGTTTGATCAATTTTAATTTACATGTCCACTTCCCCACCATTGACCGCATAGTTTATGTAAATTCATACTGTTCTTCTTCTTCCAGGTTTGAAATCAGAGGGTCTGTACAGAGTGTCAGGCTTCACAGAACACATAGAAGATGTCCGACTGTCCTTCGATAGAGGTGGGTATTAGAAACACTCTTCATGCTGTACTGGCACAGTTATTGGTAGATCAAACAAATAGGAAGCGATTAGTCTTTTCACATTTGCTTGCATGCTTGAAATAGTCATGGATGTCATTGTTATTCTATCAACATTCAGTCTGGATGGAAAAAACTCAGCTTTTCCATCCAAAACACTGCATTATTGGTACAATATGGTGATTCACCTTGTATTTTTAACAGATGGTGAGAAGGCAGACATCAGTGCCAACATCTACCCAGACATTAATATAATTGCTGGTGCTCTGAAGCTGTATTTGCGAGATCTGCCCATTCCAGTTATCACATACGACGTCTACTCCAGATTCATCCAAGCAGCGAGTAAGAAATTTCACATTTGATTGTATTGTAACTGGGTCTTGTAATCTGTGTTTTAATGATCCTTAATAATGTCTATTTGGGCTGCACATGTAACATAGATGTAATATTAGTCTCGGGGGTCTTCAGAATGTCATTATTATGCTAGCTTTGGGGCACATTTTTAAGCATAATCAAAATAGATAGCTTGTGCTTAAATTTCTTTAAATGCAAATTAGCTCCTGCTCCCCACCTCCTTTTTCAGAAGAAGGTGGAGTCTTTACTGCCCTTACTTTGAATACAGCTGTTTTGAATACAGCTTTGAAGCATATGCTTTAGTTTTATCATATCTTTTACCCTCACATGAATGAAATTGCCTTTTGAATTTGCTTTGACTTCTTATGTGCAGTCTTCTGAGATCACACATACACACACAGAGAGAAAGAGAGAGAGAAAGAGAGACAAAAAGCTGTGTGAAACAATAAATAATAACTTGACTTCTAGTTGATCATGTGGTATCAGAAGTTGCTTATTTGAAAGGCAAAGGCCTCTAGATTATGCTTATTTTACCAAATTAAATCATGATCTTGTCACTTAGCAGAAATGATGTACAGTAGGGAATATAAAGTCATGGTGCAGTGAAAAAAAGAATTAATACTGTGTATGACTTCCATGAGCTCGGACGACTGCATCCATACATCTCTACAATGACTCAAATAACTTAATTATAGAGTCATCTGGAATGGCAAAGAAAGCTTATCAAGACCCTTTAGATTCATCTTCAATGCCTCCTACGTTATCTTACCCAAGACATGCTTAATAATGTTCATATCTGGTCACTGGGCTGGCCAATCTTGGACACCTTGACCTTCTTTCCTTTCAGGAACTTTGATATGGAGGCTGCATTATGAGAAGGAGCTGAGAAATTTGCCCTCTCCTGTGGTTCGCAATGTAATTGGCAGCACAAATGTCTCACGCTGTTGATGTTGCCATCCACTCTACAGATCTCTCGTACACCCCATACTGAATGTGACCCAAAACTATGATTTTTCCTTCACCAAACTTGACTGATTTCTGTGAGAATCTTGGGTTAATGCAGCTTTCAGTATCATTTTCTGCGTTTTTTTGATGATTAAGATGTAGTTCAATAGATGATTTATCTAAAAAATCTACCTTCTGCCACTTTTCCAAATGATCAACTAGAAGTCAAGTTATTATTTGTTGCTCTTACAACTGGGATCGACGACAAGACTTTTGTCAGGTAGTGTATAGACAGATATACGTAGATATATGCTAATATTAAATTTTAGAAAAACACTATTTTCCACTAAAATAATTGTGCAATGAAGAGTATACATGTGAATGAAGCTATTGGCTGCATATCATGTGTAGGCCAGTAGGGTTGAACTGGAATCTTTAGAATGTTAAAGTTAATTATAGTATTTAAAATAATTGTGTACTGTGTGCACATAAATCAAGGAAAAGCTCATATTTATTAAGTCAGCAACCTTCTTAAAACCTTCTTAACATTCTAAAAAAATCATTTATATAGTAGTGGTTACCTTATTATTGCACCATAAATGTATTTGTTACAAGGTTCCTAAAGCAGAATAGTGTAGGCTAATGTCTAGCGAATTTCAAACCATAAATCTAACTTCACCAAACTTAACTTTAAAATGTCCCCTGAAGTGCTTTGAAATGTTCGCAGGACACAGAGTAACCCCTGCCCTTTAAGAAATGGCCAATAGCATTCAGTTTATATCAAAACTCTGCAAGTCAGTGCTAATGAGCTAAAGAGCACCAGATTCAAGACAGCCACAGTATATTTCGCTATAAACCCAAAAAGTTAAGGTAACTCAAACCATTTGAGAAAACAGATTGCAACAAACATTTTAAGTTAAAAAACTAATCCTAATGAGTACTGTGAACTTACTCGATTCAAGTTGAAGTAATGATGTATTTAATTAACTCATTACCTTCTCATTACCTTACCCAAAACTTTTTTCAAATGAGAATTACCTTTTAGTCAATTTTGAGTTAACTACACTCATTTCACTTGATGAAGTTGACTGTTGGGTTTTACAGTGTAATAATACAGTGTTCTGTGTAATTCATATGGGTTTGATTTTTGTTTTTTTTGTGGTTCATGCCATCTCTCGCATATGATCCACACTGTGCTGCCATCTCTCCAGGCTGTGGTTGTTCCTGTGACATTAGCACGAGATCAGACTTCAGTCACACACACACACACAAATCATATTCACACTGTTTGAATCCCCTTTAATGCTATTCATCAAATTGAAAAAAGGAAACTGTGTGTAATTGATTTCATTTTGAATCTTCTAATTCCATGTACACTGCAAAAATGCCCTTTGTCTTATTTTAGTCCAAATGTTCTTAAATTATAATGCATTTTCTAGACCAGCAAAAAACTTTGTCTTGTTTGTAGACATAATATGTCAAAATTAAGTGTGTTTTTGCTTAAAACAAACTAATTAATCTTGATATGAGATTACCCCGGTGGCAGATTACTTTGCTTGTTTACAGGAAAACCTTGCTTAATTTTGGTTTATTATTTCTGTAAACAAGACAATATTTTTCACTTTCTAGACTCTGTTTCTTGATTTAGAAATATTTAAATATTTGGATTTGAAACAAGACAAAAACAAGTAGGAAAAGCATTTTTTGCAGTATATAATGACAGTGTGCTTGCAGTAGAGAGGTGTCGCAAACAGCACATATCAAAACGACCAATATAAGGGGCCCTATTTTAACACTCTAGGCGGAAAGTGCATGATGTAAATGTATTAAAGGTATGTCCGAACCACTTTTGCTTTTTTAAGGAAGGCGCATTGCACAACAAGGTAGTGTTTTGAGAATAACGTGCATTAAACCAATCAGAGTCTCATTTCCCATTCTCTTTAAGAGTCAGTTGCCTTGCACCTTGGCGCATTTGCTATTTACATGGCAAACTTTGTAAGTGGAAAAACTAAATGCTTCACTAGCGAAAAAATAGTTAAGCAGAGCATATGTGCGAGAATGAAGAACATGAGAATAAGGAACATGCCTACTCCATTCAGCTCCATAACTTTACTTTTACTCTTTACTCCTTTATTTTCGTGGATAAGGAAACGGTGTTGTACACTCCACTGAAGACATCCATTAGCCTACATATTTAATTTGGTTTGTTAAGCACAAAGATTTGTTTCAAAACTATTTCTAAATTCGTTTCTAATGAATAAATGAACATTATTAAACAAGTGGGGTCAAAAACTGAGTTATATCCAAACACATCCTATTCTAATGCCCCAAATATGGTGATGCAGACGTCTCTCAAACGGGACAGGTGAACAAATCTAAACTTGTTTTTATTGAAAGAAATATAAATATTCATATAATAAATAATACTGCTAATAATCATAACATTATACAAATGCAAATTGTGATGAATAAACTGAAAGAAAGCAAAAAAACTCTGAAATAAAGAAGGCATAGAGGCAGTGGTCTTTATATTTATGTAGAACATAACCTTTTAATCCTTTATTTATTTTCATATGTAAAGATATTTGTAGGGCAGCATAGTGGCGCAGTGGGTAGCATAATCACCTCAGCTGGGTCAGTTAGTGTTTCTGCATGTTCTCCAAATGTTAACGTAGGTTTTCTCCGGGTGCTCCAGTTTCCCCCACAAGTCCAAAGATGTGCTTTAGGTGAATTGGGTAAGCTAAATTGTCCGTAGTGAATGTGTGTATGAATGTTTCTGCTGGGTTGCAGCTGGAAGGGCATCCGCTGTGATATTTGTGTATTGCTGTACATCCTGTGTGTATTAAGCAATGTCTAAGTGTTTAAACCTGCATATGCGCATAAGTAACATACTTTGCACTGGACTTGGTCAATGGCGTGGTCTATTTTAGTTCCTTAAAGTAGCAACAAGCCAACAATGTGCCTTAACACACCTCCTTTTTGGACCATGAAACACCCATAAGTCCACTAAGTGGCACAAAAGGATTTGCTATTTAAACAACGTGGTGCAAAACATTAAAATAACTGTTGCACTGCTCTAAAAATAGCAACAAATCACGCCAAACACGTCTTGTGCTTTGTTGTGCTGGGTGTATAGTAGGGGCCAAGGAGTCCAAATCAATACAGTTTTGCCCACCGTTTATTATTTTCAGAAATATATAAAGATTTTAGCGTTAGCGGACCCTTTTCACAAGACATTTATGACACCATGGGAGTCGCTAGGCCTATTTTAGGGGGGATATAGCTATTACAATTATTATAATGTCTGCGTATTTGCAGTTCTTTGATATAGCTGACCTTGTATCACTTGTATCCCAATGTCACAGAGGAGTTGTCAGGTTTTCTCGGCATTCACCTCATCAGTACAGCTGTTTCCTTCAGCGAATAATGTAACTCTTACCGAACATTTGCTATTTTTATTTCAAAATGAACTACCAATATTAAACACTTTACAGTTTGTGTGGCATTAACTAAACCATACAGCATTGCTCAGAAAGGATTAAACACAGTGACAGAACCACTTAGAGAATGTACCTATTTTAACTGTCACCAAGTCACTGACAGAGATAGAAACATCAAGTGTTGTCTAGTTTTAACACTTCTTATATATCATTATCATTCAGATCATGGAATATGTGAATAAGCCTGCAAGTTAAAAAAACAAAACAAAAAAACATACATATATATATATATATAAATAGAAAAGTGGTAGTTTATTTATGTAATACATGGAAACAAAAAATGCACTTAAGGAGCTGAGCCCCCCTAAAATGAATATCCTTAAACCGTACCTGTATGACACTTTAATCATATAATCAGTATCTTAAATCTTTGAAAGTTTTTAATATTTATATATATTTTTAAGTATATATGTATTATGTATTATATTACCTTTGCATTATATTACAAAAATTACCGCTTATTTGAGCCATTTGAAATGCCATGTGTAAGCCCAGGACAGTCAATTAAATGTTGTTCTCTCTTCTGGCTGTCATACACAATTGTTTTCCTTTTTCTGAAAGTCTGGATAACACAGTTGTGGAGTTTTCTTTTGCTTATTTAGTAAATAGGATTGTAAAATATATATATATATATATATATATATATATATATATTTTTTTTTTTTTTTTTTTTTTTTTTACAATATATATATTTATTCTACTCTCCCATTCACTGCACTCTATGTTTACCCACTTACGCTACTGAGAAACACGGTCCATAACATCTTAAAGAGGATGAAGCATGTCAAACACTAGAAAACATTTGAATGGTCAGACAATTTGACAAGAACCTGAAGTATGAGGTGACGTCAAATAATTTGTTGACACCATAAATTGGCAAATTCATACATGTTCTATCAATTTATCGATTGTATAAAAATATATTATAGATTGTATAGATGTTTTTCGTTCTGTTCTGAACTTGTACTTATAAAAAACTGTCATCAACTTTCATCATACAGTAACAATAGCCAACAAAAAGCTACTATATTTTGGTAGATGATTGGAATAAAATTTGTAAAACGCTACTAGTATGTATTTATATGATGGTTCATGAGCTCTGATTGAACAAATCACAACAGTTTGCTTGAATAGTTTTCCTACAGAGTGATTATTTAGTGGCAGAGGCAGATTTTAGAACTGCTCTATATGCGGTTAAACATCACAAACACATTATCTTTGTGTTATCTGCCCAATTCTAAGGACTATTTTTCTAAACCTTCTCTTGATCAGAAATAACAGACCCTGATTCCAGACTGGAGGCAGTTCACGACGGTCTCCTCCAGCTTCCTCCAGCCCACTATGAGACCCTGCGGTACTTGATGACACACCTGAAGAGGTAAAACCACAACACATTAATCTCCCAGGCACATTTACTGCTCTCACAGGACTCCGCATTGAGCTGGTGGCTGTTCAGGTTTTTTGTTGCATTTAAGCAGTTTACCTGTGGCTTTATTCCACCAGTTTACTTCCCGTCACACTGTAATATAAAACCTCTAAGACTGATTAGAGGAAAGGAGAAACCCAATATGGCACTTTTTTTGGAACTACAGTACAATACCTTTAAAACAATCCTTGAGGATTTATGCTTTCCTGTAACTTACCAAGCCAGCTTTGCCACTTTTCCCTATCAATGGAAAGTACTATATTTCAATTGACTACCTGCATGTTTATTGCCAAAATTGTATTGTCATGCATTTTTCCACTCTTTTGGTCTGTTTATTTCCAGAGTCACAATGTACGAGAAGGACAATTACATGAATTCAGAGAACCTCGGAATCGTTTTTGGCCCAACGCTCATGAGGCCACCAGACCTGAACACACTCACCACTCTCAACGACATGAGATACCAAAAACTGATAGTTCAGCTCCTCATCGAGCACGAGGACATCTTGTTTTAAAACAAAACAGCTGAAATGAAGACTTCACAGACTTTAAAGAGCGTGTACATTTTTAAAAAGCAGCCACACATTTCGTAAGATGGTGCTGCACTTATGTGTTTCAATGTGGTTTGACCGGTAAACTATAGCCCTTTTCAAACTGTCAGTCCAAATCCGCACTGCAAAGAAAATATCTGTTAAAGAACAATTATTATGTTTTGTGATTCACAAATGTTTTTCTATTTATTTACGGCTGGGAATTGCATTATGGGACTGTTATCTCTGCTCTGTCCACTTTTGATGTTGAAAATTCAACTTCAAAATTAACAAAATTCAAAATTAACAAAGTGACTTTTATTGACATTTTAGTAGTTTGAAATAATAAAATGTACAATAACTTGATAAATAAGTCTGTAAAATAACAGAAAATGTACTGGCAGTTTATTACAAGGTTTTTGGTAGTGTAATATACCCAGACAATATATCACTTTAAATTATTATAAATGTTCAAAAGTCACTTTTAAAAAAAAATTAAGGTTAAAAGTGGTTGGAAGAAAGCTCAAGGTCCTATACTAAGCCTAAATAATTGGGGGAAAACTAAAAACATGGAACACAAAATACAGAGAACTGTTCATTTACTGATATTCTTAGTGTGATTTTTGTGCACATTTAAATTGGATTCCAATCATATTTAGCAACTTTAAAGAATTTCTGGAAATATAAAAAAAAAAAACTTAGGTAGTATTTTGCGAGTCTTTTCACCTATTCTCTGCGTTATTTTTAGAAAACATGCTGAATCTTTTGGTAGAAACAAACAAGCTTGTGTTGCAGAGTGTGAATTGTGTGGAGAATTGCAGTATACTTCTGTATACAACCAAATAAGATAAAAACATTTAATATTATCTGCATAGAGTGCAAAAGTTGGGTGTTAAAAAAGAAAACACTTTTCTCTGTATCACTTTATTTTGATAGTCCCTTTAACACATTTTGTTGAATTTAAGTTACATTGCATCTACACTATTGCAATCTTTGCTGATGTTGTTTTTCAACATAGGCCAGTTCAGATAATTTATAAAACACAAACAATATTTTCTGATATTTTTTTGTAAAAACACACACACAAATCTCGACAACTGTGGTGTAAAGTGTGTAAGAGATTTGGACTGACAGTGTGAACCCTGTCACTCTGTATTCAACTGTCAAGCAGAATACAAAATGAATTGTGATGAATATGCATTTTATTAAAATCAAATGATAATACTTTTTTTCCCTCTGCTGCCATATAAGTATAATGCATTGATTTTTATCTTCCCATATAAATCTAAGAAAATGTCATTGTTTTCATGTCATGATCAGATATCTAGAGGGCAAAACAAGGCTTTCCTCTATTGACCGCCATTCATTTTTATCAGGTGTACTTACAAAGTCATTCATTCATTTCTTGTCGGCTTAGTCCCTTTATTATTTCGGGGTCGCCACAGCGGAATGAACAGCCAACTTATCTAGCAAGTTTTTACGCAGCAGATGCCCTTCCAGCCGCAACCCATCTCTGGGAAGTACTTACAAAGTACTACAAGTATATGCATTGTCAATGATGTGAAATATACAGTGCATCCAGAAAGTATTAATAGCAGAAAGTATTAAAAGCTTGTGGCATCATATTCAAAAAGACTTGATGCTGTAGTTGCTGCCAAAGTTGCATCAACAAAATATTGAGCAAAGGCTGTGAATACTTCGGTACATGTGATTTTTCAGGTTTTTTATTTTTAATAAATATGCAACAATTTCAAAAAATCTTTTTTCACATTGTCATCATGGGGTATTGTGTGTAGAATATGCGTAAATAAATACATTTAATTCATTTTGGAATAAGGCTGTGACATAACAAAATGTGGACAAAATGAAGCGCTATCAAAACTTTCCGGATGCACTGTACAAGTGAACAGATTCACTCAGAATATGACTGCAGGACACCCCACTGCATGGTGAACTATTATTCACAAAATGTTTAATGTGGTTTAATGCATTAGGAGAGTTGGTTCATATTATGGGCTCATCCGTATGCATCGAGATACAGTACAGTACAGTGGCTGAGAGAGCTCAAACATGCTCAAATTAAGAAAACACATTCATAAAGAAAACCATTAACAACTGAGAAAAGATTTGACAACACACGTGCACGCAAAATCACAACACAACAAATGCAGAAACATTGTTCAGACCACTATGGAAATGTGCTGGGGGGATCCCAAAATGTTATAAAAACTGGCTAATTCCACTTTAGAATTAGTTTGTTTTGTTTTAGTTTGTTTTTAAAGTCTTGAACATACACTGTAAAAAAAATCTTGCCACCTAAAACTAGAAGCAGCATCAGTCAAACTGACTAAAAATATGAAGTTAAAATTGAATTAAACCTGATTAACTGGTTAAAATTAAAGTAACATACAAGTATTTATCATCATGACTTTTTGTCATAACATTAGACTGTTTACAGTCTACGGTAACTTGTTGCTTGTATATTTTCAGCCCTAATAATCAGACGAATTTACTTTAAGTGAAATGTTATTTTAATGCCATCTTATACTCACAATGCTTCATCAAACACCTTCCAATTGCAACCATCAGGTCTCGATATTGTGTTCACAGGTGTGTAAAATAGGATAAAATTATCATTTCTACCCGAGCAATTAAGTTTTGATGAGTTAATGAAATACCTTATTACTTCAACTGAAATGGAGTAAGTTCACAAGACTCATATAGATCAGTTTTTTTAACTCAAATGGTTTGTAGCAATCGGTTTCTTTAAGCAGTTTGAGTTGCTTTAACTTACTGGGTTTTACAGTACTCAGTTTCTTTGAGTTCTCCATATTGTGATTTTCTGTGCTCAAATTGCTTCGTTTACTTAAATTAAGTAAGTTCACAGTACTCATTAGGATTAGTTTTTGAACTTAAACAGTTTGTTGCAATCGGTTTCCTCAAGCGGTTTAAGGTACCTTAACGTTTTGGGGTTTACAGTGCAGAGGTCTCTGTGAGTGTATGCTGCATATGACATTTCCCTATACGGGGACAAATAAAGTAAACTAACTAACTACAAAATCTGACTCTAAACAGGAAGCAATCAGCTTCATAACATTTTGGGATGCCCTGCCACATTTTCATTGGGGTCTGCACTATTTGCTGTGCGTTTCTATATTTGCATGTGGTGTAGAAATTTGTGCACGCATGTTGTCAAACTGATGAAGAGGTTTTCTCAGTTTGTTAGCATTTTTCTATTTGCATCTGTTTTCTTCAGCTTACTTGAACTCTCTCAGCCACCCTATTATTGTGGTTTTGGTGTTATTATATTCTAATACATTGTCACAGTTTTAGAAATACTGCATCAGGTGCCTGAAACAAAACAAACAAAAAAAAAAAAACACAAAATTAGTATTATTCTAGAATATATATATTTTTAATTTCATAACACTTCTGAACTTAAACCATTGGTATTGTGTTGCCTTACAAATCATATAAATAATGGCATCATTGTATGCAATACAATGCCATGAATAACATTTAATTTTAAATTTAAGATTTGTAGATTACGGTATAAAAAATAAGCATTACATTTTTACAAATACAGAAAAATCTAATAATTTTTAAGAGGGCTCTAAACTTCTTGTACCCAAAGCTTTATCTGTGTTTTTCTTTTTGAGACCTAATTTAAATATTCATGTAAAAGAGGCAGGCCTGTGCTGCAGTTCTGTGAATGTTCTGTCCTCCAGGTTTCCAAGCTAGTCATGTGACTGAAAACCATGAATCAACATTGTGAAACTGACATAATGCAAAGAACGAATAGCAATATATATATATATATATATATATATATATATATATATATATATATATATATATATATATATATATATATATATAAATAAATTTTTTATTTTTTGCCCCATGAAGTTGTTTAATAAATAATATGTGCTATTATGGCAAGACCATTAAGATCACGTGTATGTAAAGCACTTTTTAATTTCACATGGAGTGTAAATAGTTATTTTTGTTGATGTTGTTGTTGTTGTTGCTGATCATCCAGTGTTAATAGTTCTGTGCTAAACTCATGCCTCCTAATTATTTCTTGTTCATTCTAACAACAAAGAAGTGATCGACGTCACATCGCTCTGTGTGACCGAACAAAATGTTTCTGTGGGAATTTACGTAGTGCTTGTTCCTTCCTCCTTGGACTTGATCCCATTTCAAGAATGTCACTGAACAGAATTGTGTGTATCGTGTTCAACTTAAACCCCTGAGGCGGATTATTCACCTCAGAGAAAAAAGAAAGAAAAAAAAAAAAGGTTCACAAATGGTACCTTCCTTCAGACTCTTTTATTTGATATCAGATCTTTTTGAAGATATTTTCTGTGAAGAATGATTGTTATTATGATTGTAATTTATCAAATGCTGATTTATTATTAAATTATGCAAATCTGGTTACTTTTAAATCACTGATTCTGGACTTTAATTCTGATTTGTTTCTGTAGCTCTTTTTAGAATTCAGATTGTGCTATGGCAGCTTAACAAAGATGAATAATAAGCCAAAACAGTATAGCAGAAATATTTCAAAATATCAAGCAAGCTGGAGAATATTGGTAGAATAGTTCTTGTTAAATTAAAATGGATTCAGTTTAGTTTAATATGGATATGAAATCTTATATTACAGGGGATAGTTCACCCCAAAATAAAAATGTGCTCACTGTTTACTTGCTCTCAAGTAGTTTCAAACCTTTTTGAGTTTCTTTCTTTGGTTGAACACTAAAGAAGATATTTTGAAGAAAGTTGATTGACATTTATCGTACAACGTTAAATAAACAATTACAATAACAGTTGATTAAACATAAAACAATTTTATCCCACTTACAAATTTATCCCATTTACAAAGTTATCCCACAAAAGCCCCCAGGAATTGTGTTGATTTAACTCATAAATAAGCAGCAAAATATCTTTGGAGTGTAAAAAGAGAGCTAGATGGATGAAGCAAAGTTCAAAGCACTTAAAATGAGCTGAAAATCACAATTCTTGCATTTTTTGGGACACAACTTATTTGTTTTATGTCTAGTCCATTTAAATGTGTAAAACAATTAACTTGACAGAGATAGATAGATGGATGGATGGATGGATAGATAAAGTTAAATTAATGTTTTTTGCTAATTTAAATTAATTAAACACAAAACAATTAAGTTATCCCTAAAATATCAAGATCTGTGTTGTTTCAGCTTATTTTAAGTAAGTTTGAATAAGCAGAAAACATAATTTTGGAGTGTAGGAAAACCAAATTTTGCACAATAAAACCCAAAAAGTTAAGATAACTCAAACCATTTGAGGAAACCGATTGCAACAAACCATTTAAGTTCAAAAATGAATCCTAATGCATACTGTGAACTTAATCCATTTGAGTAAACTAAGCAATTTGAGCACAAAAAAAAAAACCAATAAATGAAGAGAACTTAAACCAACTGAGTACTGTAAAACACAATAAAGTTAAGGCAACTCAAACCTTGTTGAAAACGATTGCTACAAACAATTTGAGTTAAAAAATAATAATCTATATGAGTACTGTGAACTTACTTCATTTAAGTTGAAGAGGTATTTCATTAACTCATTACCTTCAACACGGAGTTCAAAACTTTTTTTAAATGAGAATTAACTTTTCGTAAATTTTGACTTCACTACACTCATTTAATTTCATAAAGTTGACTGTTGGGTCTTACAGTGTATGAAAGCCAAGGCTTACAGGTTTACAGCTTTCTTCAATGTCACTTATTCAGTGTTCAAACTACTAAAAAAATAAATTAAAAAAAAATAAATAAATACTCAAACAGGTAAAAAGTGAGTACATTAAATGATAACTGAACTTTAATTTTTGGGTGATCTAGCCCTTTAAGTACAGGTTATACAGTATATAAACTTGTGAAAGTGTAACAATTCACATTTGCAGTATGTGAAATATGTTGATGTAATTAGTGCTTGGTCAGTTCTAGTTAGGCGTTGGTTTTTTCACTCGGCTTATAGATTTTTTTGTTTTTTGTTCCAGCTTCAGGGGTGTGAACGGCAGCATTGTTTGACTTTATCAGACAACTGAGCTGGTTTATTGGCCTTAAGTGACTTTCAAATCACAGGTGAAATGAAAAGCTGAAAACAGTTTTCTGAGGGCAGCAGACCAATGAGAGAAAGGGGGAGGAGGGTTAGTGAACGGCAGGTGAATTATAAATGATTTCAACACAGGTCATAGTTTAGACTGCGAGAAGCAGCAGTGCATGTGTAGTGGGTAAGAATATAGAGACAAAAAAAAACACAAGATTGTTTTGCTGGATTTTTTTTAAGAAACCCAAGACTTACCTGCGAGTCTCTGGTTGACATTAACACCTGCTGCAGTGGTGAGTTTTTTTCTCATGGAATCAAAAGATTTATCCAATAATGAACAACTGAGTTGCGGACTTTGAAGACAGGCTTCGTTATTTATGATATGAGCCATGTTTTATCTTAATTCAAATATTGTAAATAATGTGCAGCTGATAGATAGATAGATAGATAGATAGATAGATAGATAGATAGATAGATAGATAGATAGATAGATAGATAGATAGATAGATAGATAGATAGACTTTTTGTATAAAATGATTATATGCGGGCAACTTGTATTCAAACAACCTACTACTGATTTAAAAATACATGATTGAATTGTAATAACATTCAGAGTTAGTTATTTAAGTTAACTAAATAAGGGAATTAATATAATTACGGTAATACACTACAAAAAGCTTGTATTAGTTTGTGTATTTACTAACGTGAACTAACAATGAAAAATACATTCTTTATAGTAATTATTTATCTTTGTTAATGTTAGTTAAAGAAAATAAAGCTGTTGATGTTAACTCACAGCACATTAACTAATATTAAAAAGCATGTGTTTGGATTTTACTAATGCATCGGTCAAACTGATTAACAAATGATGTAAAAGCAGGCCTATTGTTCATTAGTTCATGTTAGTTACTAGTACAACATTATTGTAAAATATGACAACTAACGTTAATCGTGTAATCCATGAAAAAAAAAGTCTGATCATTTTAAACGTAATCTAATTACATTGTTATGATTTACAAACCTGATTGCCTGATCCACATCATCAGTCACTTGGTTATGCATAGTAAAAACAATGAAATGTTAACTTTGTTTTTCAGACTGAAGAATTATACAGGATGGCTGACAGACACTTCTGGTGGAAAAGCTTCACCGGAAGGAACAAGAACAACTGTAAAGAAGCCCAGCAAGAATTTGGAAGTTCGGACAAGACAGTAAAACACACAAATGGCGAGAACAAGACTAACAATCTGATCAGCGACGAGAGGTACGATGACTCTCAGCTGGAGCCTTCCTTCAACGAAAACACGTGCCGGAGACACTTGACTGTTTCCCGCTCTGGCCGATACAAGGAGAAGAGAAGAGCGCGGGTCACCATGCGCGAGCACAACTTCTATGAGACGAGCATTGCTGTCGCAAAGTAGATAAGCAGTTTACAACAATAAATGAACAAAACGAACCTGTTTCTAAAGAATTAAGCCGCTACTGTAAGTGTAACGTACGCTTTACCTGGAACGATGCGGCGAGGGCACAGCTTACAGTTTGTTTGGTCTTGTTACGTCATTCGCTTTCAGGACTGAGACAATTTTATGAAGAAAGCCTCATTAAGGTGAAGCCACTTGATTTTCAGTGATGGACAGCACCTGGATATGCTCTAACCTGGATTTGTTTGCTGAAGCCTCTTGGAGATTCAGTTATCAGCGTTGAAATGGAAAGACATATGCACCCAGCAAACACAAAACATTCCCAAAATAGTTCCTATTTGGTTCGCATTTGACCAAAAAACCTGGGAACATTTTTCTGTAGGTTCTTTTTTATTTTTGCCAAACAAAAATCTATCTTCTTTCTGAGGCAATTGTGGTATGTTTTTTGTAACAACTAAAAAAAGAACATACATATAATGTTCAGGTATGGTTAACATATATTTTGGGGACTAATAAATTGTTAGCTGGGTTGATGTATTTATTGTTTGGCTGTTAGCATTTTAGCATCTTATTTATTATTTTAAAAAAGGTATTTTTAATTCAAGATATGCAGCACAGTAGTTTGTTGAGGGGAATTAAGCATTGTTTTACGTTACCAAATATTGCACCTTTGTGGTGTTTTGAAGGTCTAATGGAAGATTATAAGATTATTTAGGATACAATGATCTGCACCGTAGTTTGGGTTTCATGCAAGTTTGTGTTATCCAAAGTTTACCTCCCTGTGTAAAACTTAACCATTGTTTAACTACAAATGATATAAAAAAAACATGGTTAATCCATGGTAAACAACACAAAATAACCATGGGAACTGTGCTATTTGTAAGATGATTTTATAGGTTACTTTTCCTATAAAATCTTGGTTTTAAGGTGTCTTTTTTTATAAAAATTTTGTTTCATTGTTTCAAAAAACAATAACATAAATATGATCATAGAGAGGTGACAATATAAAATAGGCTAGGTGTATAGGCCAAAATCTTATTTAAATCCCCAGCCCATGTTCACGTTTTTAATATAGGAAAGAATAACGTTGTAAGTTGCAATTCAACCGATGGTTTTTGATCAAAGAGACACCGTACAAAGTGATTCAGACTTACACAAACGGAACTGCAACTTTGGCAAATGTTGCAAATGTTTATGTAACCATGTTGAGCCATAGTAAAAGAATGGAATGTTGTTCAACATGACTCTCAGTAAATGTTGCACGCAAATTATAATACACACCAAACCCTAGTCATTTGCATCATCTAGGTGTGTGTTGGTGACTGTCATCTGTTTAAAAAAAGGCCACTTGACTGCATTTCAACAGTGTCTCAGTTTTGTCATTAGTAATGTTTTATATATCTATTAATACAAATGTATGGGTGAATAATCTGTCAAAAAAGAGAACTGACATATGATTACATCAAACATTATTTTGTGTCATGACAGTAAACAGTTTATGGAAGAACTCCCTCTAGTGATGGTGTATAAAACTACATTGTCAGCAGTGATGAGCAGCACAATACTGAAAAAACTTTATTCACAAGAACATTCTTATAGGTTACTCTAGACAAATGGACTTTAACATTTTCAAAATACCATAAACATCATTTATAAATGTTGAGAGACCTCGAACGCACTGCAAGTTTAAAATAAAAGTAGAAAAACATGCAAACAGTAAACATCATCAATTTGACAAGACACACATAGGCAAATTCTCACAACACATGCAAATATAGAAACAGTCTGCAAGTAGTGCAGACCGAAATAGAAATGTGTCCGCTATTAGCTCTAAAAATATACAAACAACAAAGAACCGTATACAACGAGGATGATAAAATAAAAAAAAAATAAAAAAAAATAAATCACCCCTCAGATCTCCACCATTAACTATAAACAGGAAGCAGCAGGGTTTGCACTTTTTGGGGTCCCCAACACATCTCTGATGTGGTCTGCGCTATTTGCAGTGCCTTTCTGTTTTTGCATATGTTAAAATCTCCATGATCGTACATTGTCAATTCGTTAATGTTTGTTTTTTCCCTATTTTTGAGCGTTTTAGATAAATGTTTTCATTTGGGGTGTAACGGATCGCGATAATTCATGATTCGCACAGATCACAATCCAAAATACAGAACAAACATGACACATGGATTAATATTTTTTTTTTTACTGGTAGAATAGACTATCGATCACAGAAAGACTGCCTTCACATCATACAAGTCACATTTATGAAAGCAATTAGGCTTTCCTGTAAATTGTATATTGATGACGGAAGAAGTTCTGTAGGTTATTCGGGATGTGGTGGGTGTTTTCTATCACTATTTGTTTATCCTGCATTAGTGCATTCAGTGTAAGCTGCACATTTAATCAGTAAAAGATCGGGATCTCAACACCCACGCAACATAAGTTATTAATGATGGTGATTTGCATATTAATCTTTTGAATCACTGCATTCAAATTTGAAAAAGCAGTACGCAGAGTCTTTAGTCAATAACACAGGATGACTGGGAGAAAGTTTATAGTTTAGATAAAACCACTGAGGTTTATGGTAAAGATTATAATCACCGTCATATGCATTTACTGTAACTTGACGCTCAAAATGAAAGTTGTAAGCAGCAATTACATTATTTAAACAATAGATGGTGACAACCATTCATTAAAAATAAGCATTTGAATAATTCTTCAAAATTTATCCATTTAGCAATAAAACGTGAAGTTTTATGAGTGAATAAATCAATTATTGAAAATGAGACTTAAAATAAATATGGGTTGTACAAATTATAATGTTAGATTTCTACATTTTGTTATCAGCAACAGTAGTAGTAACAGTGAATTTTTCACAGCAGTAAATATTTTACAATTAATTTTTATTCAGCTGATTATTATTTAATTTTATTATTAATAAAATTACAGATTCTAAGTTCTGTTTGTCAAAACCAAAAGTGTTTTGCAGTACTGTTTTGCAGTATGTAATAAATGGAAAGCAAATTACATTTGTCTCCTCTTTTTGGCTGATCCGAAAAATGGTCCGATCTGTGACGTAAAAACCATTGCGTGATCCGAACCGTGAAATTTGTGATCCGTTACACCAGTGGTTCCCAATCTTTATTTTGGCTGAGACCCCCTTTACCCCAGAAAATATTATAAGCCCCCCATTATTCTTCTAATTGTCCACAGCTAAAAAAAAATAATAATAAAATTACAAATATGACGCCACTCACCACACAGCTTGCTGAGGCCTCCTTGTGGGCCGGAACCCCTGTTGAGAACTGAGGCGTTACACCACTAGTTTTCATAACTTTGACCTCACTTGGCCACTGTAATTGTTGCTTACTTCATTTAGGTCTAAAACAAGCAACACACATATATGATTAAAAAACTAGGCATGGGACGATAACCGTTTTTAAGGTAAACCACAGGTATATCGTTTTTAAGGTATGTATACGATTTTTTTATTTAGGTTTTTTTTTTTTTTTACTTTTAATTTTTTAGGACAACGGTATCTTCAGCAAAAAAGATATCCAAAGATGTAGTTTTAAAAGAAATCAGTGTTTTTAAAACTAGAAGTCAATGATTGATTTGAATTACTTAGCAGTAAACATGTCAGGCTCCAAAATATTTTACATGTTTCTTAAAATAAAATGAATTGTAGTCAATGGGGGGAAAAAGATTTAGTTTTTTTATTCAAAAGTTAAAAAATAATCTATTTTAGAGCAATAATCACAATACCATGAAACTTAGATTTTTTTATCCAAGGTTATCATACCACCAGAATCTTATACCGGACCATGGCTATAAAAAACACGAATAAGGGTATGTTTACATAAAAAAAAAATTATGTACTAAAAGACAAGGGCTCCACATATAGATGACATCGAGTCAGAGTTATCCTTGTTTGTTCACAGAAATTAGCAAAAATTATTATTTTTAAATGCTGTATAATTCATGACAGCCCAGTATATGGCAATGTCACTTAGGGCTTACTCACACTAGGCCAGGGGTGTCCAAAGTCATGCTCCTTCTCACTTTGCATACTTATACTACGCCCTAAAAGTATGTACTTTTTTGAAAAGGAAAAATATATAATTTTGAGTGTATAACAAAAGAGTGTGCAAGCTTTGGGACATAATACTTCCTCGTTGACAGATCATTGTGTTGCTTAGTTATGAGCCCTGTCAATCATCCACCCGTCATCCACATTTCTGTTGTATTTAATTTCCCACCTTATTGAAGAAGCAGCAGCAGGTTAATCTGCCATCCACAAGTCTTTCATGCAGAGAAATCTCCTCAGGTCTTTGGATAATTATGCATTCAGACATTATAGTCCACAAACGTCTTTATACAAGTTCAATATTGTTGTTGCAGATAAAATGTAACACAGAAAATGTGATTTAAATATTTTAAAGTGGGCTAGATATTAATTAAAAGTCATAAAACAACTTTACCGAAGCCTCTCTACTTGACTTGGTCTCGCATGTCCATCATGTTTGTAGTTTGTTTACACTTTTCACCCACGTTTGTAGTTCTAATCAAATTCACGCCTGACGCGCAATGTACTGTGTGTTATTTTAGCAGTAAGAGTATGGACGCTTCTACAATTAAAACTTTAACCGGAAATAGTAAACCATCAGGGAACCTTTAACATACTCTTTTCAACATACTGGTTTAGAACATAATAATTCTATTTTCAAATACTATTTAGGACTGATAGTATGCAAATTGGGACGCAGCATCAGTCTTGGGAGGGCCGGTGTCCTGCAGATTTTAGCTCCAACTTGCCTTAACACACCAAGGATGTTTCTAGAAAGCCTGATAGAAGCTTGATTAGCTAGCCTAGGTGTGTCTAATTAGGATTAGAACTTAACTTTGCAGGACACTGGCCCTCCAGGACAGAGTTTGGACACCCCTGCACTAGGCTATCCAACCCATGCCCAGGCACGTTTCGCAGTTCATTTGACAAGTGTGAATGCTCCAAATCAGGCCCAGGCGTGGTTTAGTTGGCCGGCCCTGGCCCGATTTGAAAGTGTGCCAAAGCATGGTTTGGTTGGGATCAGGTTGGCTTGTAGTGCGAGTTCAAAGTGTGCCTGAATGCCAAACCGAAGACATGACGTCACTTTTAAGGTACTGTATCATGAATTTATTGATCATTCTTACTTTTCAATGAACTTCAACTATAACTTTTACAGTTTAACAAAGATACAAACCCCTCGCTGCACATCAGCTGCACCTTCAGCAAACCTCCTATTACTTGCAGCGCGAGGACTTTCATGAACATTTATGCCCTTTAAAAGTGGTGGAGCTGTTCAGCAAAAGATTTGACTGTGTCACTGCATATCAAACGACTAAAAATAATGCAAAACGATATAACTAAAGCAATCTCTCCTAATCAAGAGCGCTTCTCTTCCTGTTAAACTGAACAGTCGCATCATTGATGGTGTAAGCGTGCTCAGGTTCGGAAGGTAAAGATGCAATAGGGGAAGAGGGGACAACCGTGTTTTAGCACGGCTCAAAGTAAACGTGCCTACTGAGAGTACGCCCTTAGTTCCTAGACACAGTGTATACAGCTCTGTAGTACACTACTGTTGTTTTTTGGTCATACTAGGGCTGGGTGATTAATTGAAAAGTATACAAAATCAACATTCACATCTATTTTTTCCAGGTCACATTTTTAAATTACTTTTCCACGTGTGGAGTCACGTGATCCCCGTTCTGTTTACACTTCTGCGTCTGGCACAGCCTTCACGCAGTCGCATACCCTTCGCCATGATTAACGCCGACCTCTCAAAAAATGTAACCACACGTCACATCAACACATAGCGTAAGCTCTGTCATTGGTCCACTTGGTCGCATTGATGAGTGTGGGCGGCATGGAGAGGGCAAAAGAATAAATAAAATAAATGTTCCTTAATCGTAATAGAGTTAAAATTGAGATTTTAGGCCAAATCGCCTGCCCTAGGTCATCTTTAAATATATCTATAGACAGGATGTAATATGCATGTGCATGATGTCACTGTTTTTAGAAATTTACGTTGTTTTTTTTTTTTTTTTTTTGTTAGGGTTAGGCCTTTTTCTAAAGTTGCATTTTCAGGACTACAAAACATATATAAACAAGTGACAGAAATGCATTAAAGGTTCTGTTTTTAGTTAAAAACCCTGTCATATAAACATCCGCTATAATTAAAAGTTAAATAAAGTTAAAGCAATAGTTCACCCAAAATTGAAAAATCTGTCCTCATTTACTCACACTTAACGTCTGTTTTATTCTCATGAACACGAAAGAAATCATTCTGAGAAATGTTTGAAACTATTGACTTCCATAGTATTTGTTTTTTCTACTATGGGAGGCAGGTAACGATGACAATTTTCACATTTTTATGTGTTGAACAGAAAATAGAAACTCATAAATGTTTGGAAACATTTGAGGGTGAGTAAAAAGGGAGTCAAATTTATTTTTGTAGTGAACTGGCCCTTTAAATTGAGTCAGGCACTTATGGGATAACATTGTCTTTGCTTAAAATTTAAATTCGAACGTTCAAATATTAAAAACTGCTCAAATGTACCTTCTATATCACCTGAGTGTAGATTAAAAAAAAACTAACATAAATTACACACCTGGCTTGTACTGTAGATACAAACACACTTTTGTATATCTTCTGTGGCATGACAAATCTCTGTAGGCAAATACTGGAATCTATTAGAAGGGAAATGTTGTAATGTTTTTGCTGCAGGAGTGTGTAATTACAGTTCATCATGTTGATAAGTGAACTCCCGAGATGATATAAATCCATCTTTGTCTTCATCTTCTTTCTGAAAGATGTCCTCAACCATCACTTCATGATGGGTGTCATTGGCAGCATATCCATGCTTTTCAAACTCTTTGCGCAGGTATTCTTTGACCTGAAACATGCAGAGGTGCAAACAATGTCAATTTTATTTATATAGCATTCTGAAACACAATAAAAAATTGACCAATGTGCTGCAAAATACAAACCACAAGGAGATATAAATAGCTAAAGCAAACAATTCTCTCTAATTAAATGCCAAATCAAACAGGTAAATTTTTAACTTAGATTTACAATCAGACAGAGATTATATAGATCTAATACAGAGGGGCAGAGCATTCCATAAGATAAGACCAGCTACAGCAAAAGTACGGTCACCCCTGCATTTCAGCCTTGGCTTAGGGACATATCTGTCAACCCTCCCGTTTTTCCCAGGATTCTTACATATTTTACACTTCTATTCCGCTAAAGGTATTTTCCCGTATTTTCAATTTCCCAATATGCAACCCATACCGCCGACCCATCAGGGGATGCTCCTTGCTCTTGAATGTGAATCTGTTATGTGCTTTTATTTTAAAACATTAATATAAAAACAGCAGTATTCTCTTCCTTTCCATTACAGGCACAGTTGAGCCTCTTATGCAATCCTCAAAACAGTTAGTTCTTAGTGGACAGGCAATCAGTGCAAAGAGATTAAGACAGTGTGATGTGGTCATGTTTTTTGGTACCGGTTAAAAGCCTTGCAGCATCATTTTGATGTACTGTAAATGGGGTAGGGTTGTCTGACTCTGATACCAAAATATGGCGAGTTACAGTAGTCCAATTTAGAGGTAATAAAAGCATGAATTATTTTTTCACATTTTTTTCTAGATAGAATAGGTTTGACTGTTTTTAAGAGTAGAAGCTGAAAAAAGGAAGACTTGACCACCGAATAGAACCCAGTGGAAGCATATACAGTTGAAGTCAGAATTATTAGCCTCCCTTTGATTTTCTTTTCTTTTTTAGATATCTCCCAAATGATGTTTAACAGAGCAAGGACATTTTCACAGTAGGCCTAATAATATTTTTTCTTCTAAATAATAAGAATAAAAGCAGTTTTTAATAATAAAAAAAAAACATTTTAAGGTCAAAATTATTAGCCCCTTTAAGCTATACATTTATCGATAGAATATGGAACAAACCATCATTATACAATAACTTATTAACCTTTAAATGTAACTAAAGGCTGTATAGAAGTGTCTTGAAAAATATCAAGTCAAATTTTATTTACGGTCATCATAGCAAAGATAAAATAAATCAGTTATTAAAATGAGTTATTAAAACTATTATGTTTAGAATTGTGTTGAAAAAAATCTTCTCTCCAATAAACAGAAATGGGGGGGGGGGGATAAATAGTGGGGCTAATAATTCTGACTTGTAAGGAAAAAAAAAAAGAATGGGGCTAAATTAGATCCATGGGGAACACCACATGTACAAACAGATAGTAGGGGGAAAAGATGAGGACAATGAAAGGGTTGGGTTTTTTGGGTTGAAGCTTTTTTATAGAAGATATGTGCTTAATTGTAGTTACTTTAAGTTAATCTCTTTTGTTTTTAAGCTTGTTGTTGTTATGACTAACCATATACTTTTTATATTATTTTTATTATTCAATATGTTTATAAATGCAAACTGCTTTCCCTCTCTCTCATTTTATCAGCCTCGGGGTTGGGACAGAATGGCACAAATTCAGTTACTATTAGGCCAAGAGTTTAAACATAACTGTTCCCCTTGATTTTTTTTTTTTTTTACTTTATTTTTGCTTCATTTTTTTCTGGTTCAGATTTTAAGTATTTACAGACAAATAAACCGTCAGTAATGAAATTAGTACTAATAAATAGATTACAAACAATAGCGCAAATAAATACAATAGGGAAAGGGAATGAAAGACATTTTGAGTGTCTGTTTTGGCTCTATTACAATACAAATTATCCTAACTACCCTAACTATCATTTACCCTAACCCTAAGTGATAACTAAATCATCGTTTTATAGTAGAGAAAACAAATAGCACAGTCTATGTTTTATGGGTAATATATAACAATCATCAAATGTACAAGGTGACCTATTTTGATATAAAAAATAAGGTTTTACTTGAGAAGTTTTTGATTTTTATGCATTTCAAGGCCTGTAACTATCTAAACATATGTCCAAATTCATTGGGACTAAAAGTGTTTTGGATAAAGCTGATAATTTTACAATAGAAATTGATAATAGCACAATTTCTCCCTTTGTGCGGATCAAGAGTTTGCGTGTCATCTTGGATAGCACGCTCTCATTTGAAGGTCACATCAGTCATATTATGCGTACTGCATATTTCCACCTGCGTCATATTATTCGTCTCACAGCAATCCTCATCTATGCATTAGTTACTTTACGTCTTGACTACTGTCATGCACTTCTCTCTGGGTTTCCTTCTAAACTTCGCCATAAACTTCAACTGGTTGAGAACCATGCAGCTAGTGTCATCTAGTGACTTTTTTCTCTCAGAAAGAAAGTTTCCCTTAAAATGAAATTGTCCCCTCTGCTGCACACAGATCCCCAATCGGCAACACCACCTGATGCTCTTCAGCTTCATGATCAACTCCCGCCTCAATAGTTAACCAGACTGGTTAACAAGCACCAGTTTTGCCTTTAATTTAAATTTTTTTTTTTCAAAATGAACAACCAAATTTCTGTGGTAAAGTAATTGCCATTCTACTATGCTGCTGAAGAGTAGGTGATGTTTGCAGCATGTCGCTCAAAGATTATGTAAAAGTCACATGTAATCCTACATAACCGTCCACACTGCGGTTGCATTGCAGAACATCAGATCTGTGTCTGATTTAATACTACCTATGAAAATGACACAAATCAGAACAAAAAAAAAATCAGATTCTATGTGGTCTAGGCTGTTCACACACTCATTACTTGAGTCACATGAGGGGGAAAAAAATCTGATTCGTGCCACATTTGGCAGCATTGTGAATGAAGGTCAGTATAAGTTTTTGATGGTATGATAACGTCAAATAAAAATTTCAGTTTCACATTATTGCGATTACTGCTCTAAAATAAGTACTTTTAAAATGTTTTAGCAAGAAACAACATTTTTTTCCACATTTAACCCAATATACAGTATTTCATTTTAGAATTTTTCAATTTACAATTCACATTTATAATATTTTGGAACAGTAAATATGTCAGGCTAAATAATTAAAACAATTCATTGACTTCTGCTAGGTTCATTACTTACAAAACACAGATTTTTTAATAAAAATAAAAACCTTATGAACAATATAACAGAATTTTTTTTGCAGTTTTATAACCTTGACTTTTACAAACCACGGTAAACGTTAAAGCCGGTTATCCTCCCATGACTAATTATTGCCCTATTACACTTTATGCATACAGTTACGGTAATAATTAATTGCCCTCCTGAATTATTAGCCATCATGTATGTTTTTCCCCAACTTTTGATGAGCAGAGAGAAGATTTTTTATACACATTTCTAAACATAATAATTTCTGATAACTGATTTATTTAATCTTTTCCATGATGACAGTACATAATATTCTACTGGATATTTTTCAAGATACTAGTATTCACAGTGCAATTGCAGTGCAATTTAAAGGCTTAACAAGGCTTATCAGGTGACTAGAAATGCTAGGGTAATTAGGCAAATCATTGTATAACAGGGGCTAATATTGCTTAAGAGGGCTAATAATATTGACCTTTAAAAGCAGTTTTTATTTTTTTTAAACAATTTTGTGTAGCCAAAAAATTACAAATACAACTTTCTCCTAAAGAAAAAAATATTATCAGACATACTGTGAAATATTCCTTGCCCTGTTAAACCTTCCTTCATTTATCCTTTGGCTTTTCATTTTAATTATTCAGGAGGCGCCCCAGCAGAATGAAACGCCAACTTATCCAGCATATGTTTTACGTAATAGATACCCTTCCAGCTGCAACCCAGCACTGGGAAACATCCATACACACTCATTCACACACATACACTACTGCCAAATTAGCTTATTCAATTCACCTGTACCAAATGTCTTTGGACTATGGGGGAAACCAGAGCACCTGGAGGAAACCCACACACACACAGGGAGAACATGCAAACTCCACACAGAAATGCCAACTGACCCAGCCAGGACTCAAACCAGAGACTTTCTTGCTGTGAGGGGACAGTGCTAACCACTGAACCACCATATTTCCTTGTGTTGAATCATTTGGGAAATGCTTGGGGAAAAAAAAAATAAATAAATAAAAATCACAGAAGCTAATCATACACAGGGGGCTAATATTTTTCACTTCAACGGTTTTCATGCATTACCCCAATGAACCTAAAATGATAAATTCTTTTTCTTTATATATATATATATATATATATATATATATATATATATATATATATATATATATATATATATATATATATATATATATATAATAGAGCCGTTGAATCCTTCTGATGAAACTCTATTCATATTGAAAAATACACTACTGGTCAAAAGTTTGGGGTCAGTTTTTTATTTATTTATTTTTTATATTAAATGTATTTAATAATATTAAAAAAAAAAGTTGGCGGTTCATACTGCTGTGGCGACCCCTGATTACTAAAAGGACTAAGCATGAAAATGAATGAATTAATTTAAATAAAATTATTCTGTACATCAAGGCGGTATTTATTAAATGTAAAAATATATATTTATTAAATTTTTATGTATTACTTATTGTATGTAGTTTCAAATGAAATTACCACTCCAGTCATTATTGCTTTTATTACAATCACCATTATTATTATTAATAATAATAATAATAATAATAATTTATATTTGACTGAATTTTGAGGATCTTTAAGTCACTGGAATTATTAATGAATTATTTTTAATGAAATGAAACTATTTTTGAACAGATATTTTATATTGCAGTAACATTTTACAATTTTACAATTTGAATTGTATTTTTAATAAAATACATGCAGCCTTGGTGAGCAGCAGAAGCTGATTTTAAAACATTTAAAAATCCTACTGACCCCAAACTTTTGACTAGTGTATATCAGAAAAAAATAAACATTGCAATGACATTTTGTTTTCCAAGTTGTGAACACAAATAACAATATAATACATTACTATTATGAAATTTGATGAAGAACTGTATCTGATTAAATAAATAGCCTGCAAACCTCAGCTTTGGAAAGTTTCCAGTCATCATTGAGGTCCATTTCCTGGAAGGACTCATGTGACCTGGGTCCGTTTCGGATCTCTATGATCTCTATATCAAATATCAGAGTGCTTTCTGGAGGGATTTTACCTGAGGAAAGCCGAAACAATGGTCAACAGTCAAAATAATCTGAGCTCTAAATTCAGTGTTTTTGCACTGTCACTGACATTAGAGACGATGAAAACAACTGCTTTCTTAAAATGATAGTTCAAACTATATTATTTACTCACTATTTTACTCAACCTCAAGTGTTTCAAACCAGTTTCTTTCTTCTGATAAACACAAAATAAAATATTTTCAAGAAAGCTGAGAAACTGAAAGCACTGACTTCCAAAGTAACAATGATCGTGGAAGTCAATAATAACAGCTTTCTTCAAAATATCTTTTATGTTAAGCAGAAAAAAAATCATAAAGGGGGAGTACACTACCTGAAAAAAACATCTTGTTGTAAGAGCAACAATTAATAACTTGAATTCTAGTTGATCATTTGGAAAAGTAGCAGAAGTTAGATTTTTCTGATGAATCATCTGTTGAACTGAATTTTAATCATCACAAATACAGCAGAAGACCTACTGGAACCTGCATGAACCCAAGATTCTTACAAAAATCAGTCAAGTTTGGTGAACAAAAATCATGGTTTGGGGTTATATTTAGCCTAGGGATGTGAAAGAGATCTGCAAAGTGGATGGCAACATCAACAGCCTGAGGTATCCAGACATTTGTGCTGCCCATTACATTACAAACCACAGGAGAGGGCAAATTCATCAGCAGGTTAGCACTCCTCATACTTTAGTCTCCACATTAAAGTTACTGAAAGCAAAGAAGGTCAAGGTGTTCGAGGAATAGCCAGCCCAGTCTTCAGACATGAACATTATTAAGCATGTCTGGGATAAGATGAAATAGGAGGCATTAAAGATGAATCCAAAGAATCTTGATGAACTCTAGAAGTCCTGCTAGAACACTTTCTTTACCATTCCATATGACTCTATAAGTTATTTGAGTCATTGCAGAGATGTATAGATGCTCCTCTAAGCTCATGGGAGTCATGCACAATATGAATTCTTTTTCCACTGCACCATGACTTTATATTCTATACTATACAATATTTCTGTTAAGTGACAAGACTTTTGTTCAAGCAAAGTCAGTCTGTTCTTATTAAATAAAAAATAAATAATAAATAATCAAAGTGTTATGACTTAAATTGATATATATATATATATATATATATATATATATATATATATATATATATATATATATGCAAGAGGGATTAATTAATGCTCCATTTATCGTTTAATTGTCATAAAGTGAATTTACCTTGGCATTTATATATGCTGTTTTGCTTTAAGAACAGTTTTCCTATGATGCTTAGCGCTACTGAAAGCGCTCCTGTAACCATTGCAACTGACTCAGTGTGAGAGAGTGAGTGTGTGTTCGGAGTTTCGCTCCTGCTTCAGTATACAAAAAACTTTAGTAAACAGTTCATTTTTCGTCTAAACAAAGTTTTCCAGTCGTCATTATTGCTGCTAGATGAAAAGACAGAACACAAAGCATGAACTTATTTTATTTTGGTAAAATAAACGTAATCTAGAGGCCTTTAATATTAGCTTGTTTCTTATACCAAACTATCAATAATAGAAGTCAAGTTATTATTTGTTATTGCTAAAACTTGAATAGTTGACAACATCTTTGGCAGGTAATGCACATGAAGACAGAATGGTCATTTTTGGGTGAACTATAACATGAATTTTGATACCACACCTTTGCCCTCTTTTCCATATGCAAGAGCTGGAGGGATGGTCAGTTTCCTCTTCTCTCCTGCACACATGTTTTGAAGACCCTTATCCCAGCCCTTGATCACCTCTCGGATCCCCAACGTGAACCAGACAGGGTTTTTGTCTCCTTGATGGCGGCTGCCAACAGTAAGATGTGAACTGAAGGTTAGAGGCTTGCATATTTGACTTGTTTGAGCTGGCAGCTGCACTTTGGAATATGATGGATGGTTTCTCTCTGGTCATTATCTGATCCAAAATAGACTAATTTGGATAAGCAACACAATGGCTAAAGGTGGTCAAACTGGTTTTTGGGTTTTGGCCGGTGGTCATAGATACTGGCTAGAAACTATGCACATGTATAAAAAAAAAAAAAAAAAAAAACGAAAACATAGCAGTTAAATGGAATTGTGTATTTACTGGAAAAGTAATAAATGCTTTTTGACAATTAATTTAGGCATTCTTTTTTTTTTTTAAAGTATTTTGAGATTATTTTGGCTTAGAAGAGATGCAAAAAGAAGAAGCTTTATATTATCTGAATAAGATTTTTAAGTTATTTAAGAGATGACAAAAAATGATAAACATTTTGTGTTCTTGCATCAATTTTTTAAGTAATAGAATGAATCTTGAATGCTTTAAGATCCTCAAAATACACATCATTATTTTACTTATATTTCACATAATAGTTACATAATATTACTTTTAGTTACAATAATTACATAATATTACTTTTTATGCCATTAAGTAGCATTACTTTTCTTGTCTTACATTCAGACTTTGGACCTGTATGGAACACTATTAGTAGAGTTGCACAATATAACATTTCAGCATCAATATCAAATTGTGATCATTTACAATAGTCCCACAGCAGAACATGCAATGTTGAGTCAAGATTATAATTTATCATTTAAATGTGTTTTTGACTGTATGAGGGTTAAAAACATTTAGGCATAACAGATTGTATAATTTCTAACTAATTGTTTCTATAATGAAGATTATGCAGGATTACTTTACATTTGATCATTTGGTTACCATATACCGGAATACAGTTAGGCTCATTATAAAGCAATTAAACAGTAAAAGTTTATATTCATTTGTATCTTTTTATATTTACCTATGCCTGTAGATTGTTAATTAGATTTTATGCAGATGCACTGCCCTACAGAACCATCCCAATCAATCTAGAATTATACATTCTTTACAAATAGATATTCAAGACATCTGGTGAAATTGAATTCAAATATTGCAGAATAACAAAATATCACAATGTTAAATGTTTCCAATATCATGCAGGCCTATTAGTTATCAGCATTCTTCTTGTAAACCTATCTATGAAATTATATTAGTGTCCGAGACTGAATTTATATGCATGTCTACTTCATCTATAAGCGAATGTTAATAAATTAAATAATTCATTATTTTTTGTTTATTTTTTATTATTTAAAGCTTTTTATAATGAAGCTATGTGTGTGTTTCATTAATCTGGACTGTTTTTGTGAAATCATGATTTATTAATTCAAAATAATTGAGATATTTCCTATTCATTTCAATAATGTTAAAGCTTACATAAAGTAAATACAGACAGTTATTTTCTTTTTGTTGTTCATGTGTAACTAATTTGAAATTTCGAAGATGATGGCTATTACATTTTATCAGTGAGAAGTTGCTTACAAGACATGCAAAATGTTTTTTTAAGATTTCACCTGGAATGAAACATTGTGCCGTTACTCTCCAGAAAGCCATCGTAGTGAACCAGAAGAATATCCCCGTATTTGGATTTACGATGACAAAGGAAAGGTTTGTATAAAACTTCTATTTTCACCTCAGGCTCCGGAAGTTTTGCTCCATGCACGTAAAAGAAAAATGCAGAAAAGATGCATGTCCACAACTCTGGAATCATCTTAATATGAAGAACAGTTTGACACTTTCTAACTACTCGACTAATGTTTCATGTACAAAAAAAGTTCTGAAAAACTTCCCAAACTACAAGTTGCCCTGCCACAGCTACGTGGCAAGCGAAATTTCTTCAGGGGGTCTTAAATCTTTCCCAAAGTAGTGATGTCTGACTCGTAAGCGAGTCGATCTTCTGAGTCGACTCAATGAATCTGAACTCTTGGACCGAGCAGTGCAATCAAGGCTGTTCAGCGTTTACATCTAGAACGGTTTATGACCGGATGTATTATTTATAAACCTACCTGAAACTTATTAAAACGTAAATAAACGCAAATTACTATTATTAAAAGCTAATTATTTGCAATAAGTGTAATTTTATTGTTCGTAAAATACAAATTATATATTTAAGTTAGTTTTTAATACTTGAACTTGTGACTTTAATAAATACTCGCACAATAAGTCGCTTTGATTATTAAAAAACTGAAAAATAATAAAAAGCACGTGTGCCACGTTGAAGTAAAACGCTTTTTTGAGACATTCTGTTCAAAAGAACCGACTCACGTAATGAAGCGAGCATCAAATCACACTCCCAAATTCCAATGCAAAAAAAATTACACCCCAAAACCAAAACGTTGTTTTCTTATTGGTCTGCTTTCTTTTAAGCCACTCCTTATCTGCTAATAATCGATATTCATTGGACGATGTACACGTAATCTCAGTGGAGCTACGCCCATGGGTTCACTTCGTATCCAATAAGAAGAGCGCTAAGAGAAAATCCCACAGATGTCACAGGCGTGGGCCGATCCTTCTACGATCACATGGATTGGTATTCTCAAACCATCTACGCCAGTCTGTTGCGTAACCTCGGTTCGCTCCAGTCGTGCAGCGTCTTTTACATTCGACTGTCGTAGGTAAGAATTATCTCGAGTTTCTCAAAGCGGCTGTGTTGAGTTCGGTCTTGCCACGACAAAGTAATGAATTGTCAAGAGGGGGTCAACCATGGAGGGAGTTCTCTATAAATGGACCAACTATATTAGTGGTATGTATATTGTTATAGTTAAAAGTATATCACGTAAACGAGGGAAGTCTGTAAAGCAGTTAGCCTGTTTGCTAGCTCCATATATGAAGTTAAGCTATCATCCTCTTTAACTCTCTGTGTCGTTACTTTTTAAAAGCATTGACACGAAGACATCAATAATCTGCTAAAATAATTTGCTGAAAGGGTTGCTTTTGTCCATATCATCAACGTACGTACTGCATTCTGCAGACAATGGCAGTTAAAAAGCTTGACTGGAAAAACAAGTCGAGCCATATAATGTTCATGGATCTAAAATGTCATCAGGTGCGTTGTTATTGTGTCATTTGCTGTGTTAAACGTCATTGCTCCTTTGAAAGGTTGGCAGCCACGTTGGTTCGTTCTTGAGGGAGGGACTCTTTCCTATTATGACTCTCAAGAAGATGCTTGGAAAGGATGCAAAGGGAGCATTAAAATATCTGTGTGTGAAATACAAGGTAAGAAGGCAGAGCCAACCAGCTATTCTTTGTGTTTTGCAGAAGAGCTCATGAATATATGCTTCTGAGTGCTAACAAGTGGTTGTTTCTTCATCTTTTTAAGTCATACAAATAAAAGATTTTAATATGACCTACAAATGAGCATGTAGTGCAGTTAAACCATCAATTGCATCAAAGATAAAATTCTGAATAAACATTATAATGTCATTAACATTTAAATATATTTTTTTCTATTTTTATATAATTCGTGTTAGTCCCCCTGTTTATTTTTACCCCAGTTTCTGTTTAAAGATGAGAAGATTTTTTTTTCATCACATTTCTAAACATAATAGTTTATATATATATATATATATATATATATATATAAATTTATATATATATAAAAAAACTCTAAAGGGGTCTAATAATTCTGACTTCAAATATATATATATATATATATATATATATATATATATATATATATATATATATATATATATATATATATATATATTGTGTGTGTGTGTAATATATTTTGTAAATATGAACTTATTTTGGAAGCTTTCATACACAGTGGCAATTCAGAGTGCTTTACATAAACAGGAATAACAGAGATAAGTATAAATAAAAGCAAATAACATAAAAACATTAAATCACAATTAATCGTTTAATTATCAGCACAAATTTTAAGTCTTGCTTTTAGAACTTATTCTTATAGTTTTATTGATTCTGTTTTGATTTTATAATTTTACTTTTTGTAGACTCAGTCTATGATATTACGTTGTATTTTATAATACATTATTGAAAGTAAAAATTATCGTATAATTTAAAAGTAAAAACAACCTATTTTAATATTTACTGTGTAAAAATAATACTTTGAAACCTTTTCATGATATAAGTGGAAACATCAAAAACATTAATAACATTGGAAAATGTGTTGGAATTATTTAATAAAAATAAAGTAACCATTTATTAATTTTATTGTACTTCATTTATAACCAGTAATTTCATCAAATTATGCAAAACAATAACTGGTATTGAGATTTTATTTAGGATAAATAAAATAAATGCTTGATAATGTACTTAGCCTTATGAAGATAAATTGAACGTTAGTTCTTCTCTTAAAAAAAAAAAAAAAATAAAACTAAAAAAGTATTTTTCACTGGCTTTATGTCCAAAATGTAGCACTATTAAACATGATACTTCACTGGAGACTAAGGCACTAGCCACAATTATTGCTTTAAATAATAAAACAAGGTTATTCTTGTTTCTTCACTGTTGACCATAGTATTTATGTAGTAAAATAAATGATTGAGAATGTGAGGAAATGTATTTTGTAAGTTACAAAAACACTACAGTACTGCATTAAGCCCCACTTTGCTTATTGGTGGTCTATGTACTCCTTCTATCCACTGCAGTTCACCCATCAGATTTCACGAGGGTTGATCTGATCATTCCAGGAGAACAATACTTTTATCTCAGGGCAATTAATGCAGCAGAAAGGCAGAAATGGCTTGTGGCATTAGGGACTGCGAAAGCCTGTCTCACAGACAACCGAACCAAGAGAGAGAAGGGTGAGTGTTGTATTTCTGCTGTCATAGACAGGATATTCTCTGCAGATCATCTGTCGAAATGGGATAATGTAATATATGCCCACCAGGGCTTTATTTGATCAAAAAAGTGGAAACATGATTTCAGTACTCTTTAATAAAATGAAAGTTTTATATTACTGAAGTATACAGTGTCACAGTATACTAAATCATAATATCTTAACAGAATTGATGTTCATGAAACATTTTTATTATTGTTATTATTTTTTTATTATTATTAATTTAAATTTTATTATTATTGTTGTTGTTGTTGTTGTTGTTATTATTAATTTTATTATAATTATTATATGTTTGTTGTTTCAGGATTCATTCAATAAAATAAAAAGCATTTTTGTGTGATAAAAAAATATATTGTTTTTACAAAAGTGCTCACACTTTTTATCAGTTTAACAGATTTTTGCTGAATAAAATATTGATATCTTTAAAAAGGAAATCTTACTGAGGCCAAACTTTTTAATGGTAGTATGTTTTGTTAAACGTTATACCCATTGAATATTTACTCTTCCACAAAAATGTGCCAAAAATATACTTGGCCTGGCCCCAGCTTCCTGTTTTTGCAGCATTTCATTGCAGGAAACACAATTGTGGCTCATTCACTGGGAATCCACTAAGATTATGTAATGCATCCAGGTTATGACGATTCCTCATTTTGCAGTTCTTCTGACGCATCAGCTCTACAAAGAAAAAAGGAGTGTCAACTGTGTTCTCTTTTATCTTCTCAGAGCTCCAGGAAAACTCGGAGGCTCTGAAAACAAAAATGTCAGAGCTGAGGCTTTACTGTGATCTTCTTCTTCAGCAAGTGAACAAAATACAAGAAAGCCCTCTAGCAGAGACGTCAGCTGGTTCTGGCGAGGTACGAAAGTGTTTTGATCGTCCTTTGCTATACGTACAGCTTTAAAGTGGCTGGGGAAAGAGACATTTATTCCAATTCGATAAATTTACAAGCTTGTCAGACAGGAGAAATATTTATAAGTGTCTGTTTTTATTTATTATCATTAGGGCTGCAAGATAGTGCATTATTTTGTTTCCTGCAATATATATCAAGATAAGTGACGCGGTAGCACAGTAGGTAGTGCTGTCGCCTCACAGCAAGAAGGTCGCTGGTTCGAGCCTCAGCTGGGTCAGTTGGTGTTTCTGTGTGAAGTTTGCATAGTTACAGGTGAATTGGGTAGGCTAAATTGTCCGTAGTGTATGAGTGTGTATGTGTATGGATGTTTCCCCAAGATGAGTTTTGGCTGAAAGGGTATCCACTGCATAAAACAGGGGTGTCAAACTCAGTTCCTGGAGGGCACAGTTTAGTTCCAACCCTGCTCCAACACACTTACCTGTAGGTTTCAAACAAGCCTGAAGGACTCGATTAGTTTGATCAGGTGTGTTTAATTAGGGTTGGAACTAAACTGTGCAGAGCTGCAGCCCTTTTGGAACTGAGTTTGACACCTGTGGCATAAAACATGTGCTAGATTAGTTGCCGGTTCATTCCACTGTGGGGACCCTGGATTATTAAAGGGACCAAGCCGAAAAGAAAATGAATGAATGAATGAATGAATAGATTGAGATATGAATACAATTTCATCAGATAGCTTGAATAGATTTATTTAGAATGATTTGGGATTATTATGGGTGTAAATCATGTAGAAAATATAATAAACAATTTAAAAGTATAGATAAATAAAGTGGAGCAAAGAAAAAGTTAAGCTACAGTTCTTTGTCTTTTTGGGAAGTCTAACAGTATTCAGTTACAAAAATCTAATAGTCATATGTAAGATAACACTGTGTATTCTTAATTATATAAATAGGTACAATTGGTACAATTTCTTGTGCCTGAATGCACATGCCTTAAAAACAAATGCAGATGCAGACTCTATTATGGTTAAAATCCACAAATATCATGTTTGCGGATTATAGCCCTTGCTCAAATATAATACCAGCATATAAACTCATTTTTGCACATCCTGTGATGTGACTATTGCAGATGTGCACATTGCGATATATATTGTGCAGCCCTAATTATCATTCTAATTGTCATAAAACTGAGGGTCAGAAATCTACTCTAAATTACACTGACATCATGCGAGTCTCTGAGATGTGTTTGGGTACATGTGAGTTTCAGGGAGGGGACGAGACTGGAAATCTAGTGAAGTCCACATGCACCACCTTCTTGAAGACTCTGGAGGAGTGTATGCACATTGCTAGTCGGACCTTCAATCCAGACCTTCTCAGTCGAACCCCTCCAGGCTCTCCTTCTGTAGCTACCATCAAACCTCAGAAAGTATATTAAAAATGCAATCACCAAATGAAAAATAAAAACATTTGTAGATCCTAATTTGTTGCGAGAACTTAATATTGAATTTTTTATTTTTCCATAGATCAAATCTAACGATCCCAAAAATCTGCATCCAGGAGAAACGTGAGTTTATTAGTGATATTCAACTTTTTTTGTCAGTTTTGCTTTGTTTTGTTTTACTTTAAATTGTTTGAAATATGTGTTACGCAGACGAAAAGACTTGATAAACACCTCAGGAACATCAGCACATGAGAGTGGACCAGATAATGAACCACCTCCATCTCCTCAAGAAAACATATCGACTGCTCATACAGGTATGGCAAACATCATTTAAGGGGTCCTGAGGTTTCACCTTAAAGTACATCAAATATCATTTAAATACCATAGTAAATAGTGTGGTTGTACAACACAATGATTCTCTAGAACAATGGTTCTCAAACTTTTTTCATAAAGTTCCTCCTCAAAAAATTGTCTCTCCAAGTACCACCATAAATACCAGTATCGAAATACAGTAGCGTAGTAGGCCTAATTAAGTACAGTTCAAAATTGAGGCAGATTAATTTCTTTTATTTATAATATTTATTATTGTCAGTCACCTTAAACATAAATAATTTGAACAGTACCACTGCTGAGCTTAAATAAAATATCAAGGTTTTAAGTAAAATTTGCTTTTAAAAGTTAGTTAAACATGGTAGGCTACTCTTCTTAAAGAAGTAAAAAGAAAACTGCAATACTTAAATGTATTAACATATAGCCTATTCATCAAAACCTGGAAATGTTGCTTGGACCTCATAAATACAGGCTATATGTCAGATTCATATATAAATCATTTTTGATTAATTTAGAAATATAAGTTGCATGTGCATATGACATATTTGTGTATTTTTGACATCTAAACATTACCCTTTATTTTAAAAAGATGATTTGGAATAACTTATTTGAAATATCCGTTTACTGCGTGTCATTTACAGTATGTGTGTCAGAAAAGTAACTGAATTAACGCATAAATAGTGTGCTTTAGCAATTAATACATGATTTATCCATTCAAATGTGTGGCATTTGCATGATTTGAGATCACATCTTAGTGAACAGTGGAGTTTGCGTTAACCTCACACGGAGAGTAACTTCAATTATATTCTAGCTCCAAGCTTCAAACAATACAAAGTTGCCTGAGTGTATCTTCTGTGTCCCGCACCATTTGAATCACATCCAAATTAATTACCCTAAATCTGAAATAACAAACTCAATCGAAAACCATGCTGCTTTACAAAACAAATAACTTGATATCTCGAAAACATGCATTCTTTTACACACATTTTTAAAAACATTTGTAATGATTGTGTAACATGTGGAAATTCTCGAGTTTGCAGTAACTTAAATGCCAATAGAACAACACTGGTCTGCAAAAACGCTTCTCTAGCATGTGTGTATTTGCTCCGCAAGCAATCTGCGCAGAGCGGATTGATTTTTAGCATCTGATGATGCGATGCACTAAAGTAAACATTCTAAGCACACCAGTGTAATCATTTGCTTCAAGGAACAGCAAATGTTGATCACATCTGTGTTCTCGTACACATCAAAGGGTTAAAAATGTGTTCATTATATTTCTTTCATAATTCAGCTATTCCTCCACGTACTACTAGAAGGAAGCCCGTGTACCACAGGTACGACAGTTTGAGAACCACTGCTCTAGAACAATGGTCTCAAACTCAATTCCCAGAGGGCCACAGCTCTGCACAGTTTAGCTCCAACCAGCTCCAACTCACACCTGCTTAATAATTTGTATTAGTCTTGAACACCTTGATTAGTTGGATCAGGTTTGTTTAATTGGAGTTAGAGCAAACGTGTGTAGAGCTGCGGCCCTCCAGGAATCCAGTTTGAGAACTATGCTTTGCAACAGGGATTTTCAAACTCGGTCCTGGAGGGCCAGTGTCCTGCAAAGTTTAGTTCCAATCCCTATCAGATATACCTAGGCTAGTTAATAAAGCTCTTACTTAAGTCTTTCTAGAAACGGTATAAAATACAACCTGAAATCTCAAACTGAATTTTAAGACATTAAAGTGATCTCAAGTGGCTTATTAAGACATAATCAAGGGATTTTACCAGATGTCGTATTGAACATACAAGATTAACCTATGTTTTGTTTGCTTAAAGCTGAATACACCACTCAATGTTTGTATTCCATATTTATTATTACTGTAAAACACATTTTACTGGGTTGTCCTGCTTTTAAAGAGCCCATATTATACATGAAATAGGGTCATATCTTGGTTGTAAGGGTCTCCAACAACAGTCTAATATGCATGCAAGGTCAAAAACACTTTCATGGTCTTATAATCTGCATTTATTTTTACCTAATTATCCCAGCGACTCCTGTATGAATCGTCCAGTGATTCATTTGTTCCCAAACCCCTCCTTAGCGCGAAGCTAATCTGCGCTGATTGGACCGATGACAGTCTGTTACGATTGGTCGACTGCCTTCAGTCAGAGTGAAATGCCAAACAGCTAATCAGCAATATAAAAGTAATCACAGTTCATACACGCTCGATAGTGTAGGCGTGGATTTTAGCTGCCAGTGGGTCAATATAAATACAGTCGATGGACTTGAAAATTCAGACGACTAACTATTTTATTGAGCAAAAACTCCAAAAACTGTCGATCACATAGCTTGTCTCACTCTGCTCTTTTCACAGACACAAACACACACACACACACACACACACATTGGCCTCGTCCGCGCACACACACACACACACCTGCAGGCGACAACACGTGCGAACACACACACACACACACACACACACACACACACACACAAACACACACACACATACCTCCGGAAGACAGCGCACTTACACACTACCCTCGTCCACGGAGCTCCATAAACAAAGCAGCACGCGTCGCGTTTTTAACTGACTTTGCACGCGATAAGAGAATATAGCCAGTTAACCTGATACAGTACACGCGGTTACAAGTAACAAATCACAACTAAATACATTTGCAAGCCAGAGTCAACGAGGCAACAATTTTAATCGCACGTACTTACAATTGAGAAATGGAGGAAGAAACCCATCCTGACGTCCAGCAGTAAGTTGAGAGCAGTAACTCTCTTAAGGATATTTTTACCAAAGTGACACCAGGAATTTAAAAAAAATATATCATGCATGAGCACTAAAATGTATGTATTCATTTGTTTGTTGATTTTTAATATTATATTTATTATTGAAGTGTTCTAGCCATGAAACAGCCTTGGTTGATGACATGACATTAAATAAAAATGCATTAAATTATTAGGTTTTCTAGAAAATCTACTGTTGTACAAAAAGGTGGGAAAAAATCTGACAAATAAGTTATGTCGAAGAGCTGCAGAGAAAATAAGACTTCAATCATAAATTGATAATGTAATAAAGTTGTTAGTGTGAAAGAATGTGTTGCTGGGTGTAGTAACAAACTTGTTTTTTTTTTGTTTTTTTATTATTCTTTATTGTTTACTTAAGCAGTTTAAAGTCTAATGGACATGAGCAGGTTTGTCTTTATTTCGATAGCACTTTTTACAATGTAGATTTGTTAAAGCAGCTTAACATAGATGAAGTTCATGAACGCTAAATACTGAAGAACAATTCCAACAACGTGCCGCTCTAGTCCCAAATCATACAAACCAGTAGCGAGGAACAAATTTCACCAGTTGACAAAAGTGAAGATAAAAAAACAGGCTCAGCTGGACATAACCAGTTCTCCTCTTGCCAAACATGTTGTGCAGAGCTGCAGTCTAAGTGACGAGGGCTTGCGAACGATGGATACTGTATTTGTCGAGGAAAAGCTGCAGGTCTGAGTAGGTCACCGTCGGGTGTTCAGGCTAGCCCACGGGATCAATGCAGAGAAAGAGATGGATTGTTGTGGTCAGCGCCATCTCATGTGCAGGCATGATTTTGAATTATGTGATTGATCTGTTTGTCTTGGTTATGAAAGCAGTTTATTGGTGATTCACCTCAGTTTCTTGCGGTTTTCTCATGCGGTTATGTCAAAATCAAAACTTCATAACATTCAAGTTCACTTGCCACTGTTGGTTATATCTGATAATGTAAGCATTATACGAAGAACTTTATTAATATCAGTGACACGTCTCTTGGACAAAGTGATGACACAACGCAACTCAAACAGCCCAATCAACCCTCTGCCCATGTGGAATCCTTTGAGTGGGAATTATTTTAAATTCCGGATAATGTGTACTTTTCTAGAAGAAACTTCAGGATGAAATTTTAGGTGTTTGAGGGTGTTCAATCAGAAACGATGCTTACCGATTGACTGCTTGAAGTTCTTTCATGTTCAAACTATAAAAGTGTACATTCGTTCATTCATTTTCTTTTTGGCTTAGTCCCTTTATTAATCAGGGGTCGCCACAGAGGAATGAACCACCAACTTATCCAGCATATGTTTTAATGCGCATGCCCTTCCAGCTGCAACCAAACACTGAGAAACACCCATACACTCTTGCATTCACACATATACACTACTGCCAATTTAGCTTATTCAATTCACCTATACCGCATGTCTTTGAACTGTGGGGTAACCCGGATCACCCGGAGGGAACACATGAGAACATGGGGAGAACATGCAAACTCCACACAGAAATGCCAACTGACCCAGCCTGGGCTTGAACAAGCGACCTTCTAGCTGTGAGGCGATCGTGCTAACCACTGCACCACTATGACGCCCACAAAAGTGCCCACTAAAGAAAAATATTTAAAATAGTTTAGCAGGTTTTTTTTTTCTCACCTTCAAATTAACAAGGTGCTTCAGATTAACAAGGTGAAGTATCAAGTGTGGAAAGAGGGAAGGAATTGCATAAAAAAGGTGTAAAAAAAATATTCATTAAAACGGCTAATCTGCGTGCACACACACACACACACACACACACACCTTGAGATACAGAGAGCAGCAGATACAGCAGTTCTGAGAGCACTTATCACCATTAGAATCTCCAAAATCACATAGTGGTCCTACAGATGACAGCGCGGAGGGGTATTGCACAAAAACAAGATAAGGGATTAGACTGGGTTTTAGCTGATTCATAGCCCTGGCTCACTTGCTTGCAAGCAGGCTAAGTTAAGATCAATTCATTCATTCATTTATTTTCTTTTCGGCTTAGTCCCTTTATTAATCCGGGGTCGCCACAGCAGAATGAGCTGCCAAATTGCATTACTATGGATAATAATTTATCCATGTTTTATTTATTGCACATTTATTGTTATTAAACAGACTCTTTCTCACGAATAAATGGGGAGAAATGGACAGAATCTGTTAATCAGTTATAGAGCTCATATTACTGTTTTTAGCAATATGAAACTCCTTTACAGTTGAAGTCAAAAATATTAGCTCACTCGTAAATAGTTTTTTCCTTTTTTGTTTTTCAAATTTTTCCCAAAGGATTGGGCAAGGAATTTTTCACAACATTTATTATAATATTTTTTCTTGTGGAGAAAGTCTTATTTGTTTTATTTCAGCTGGAATAAAAGCAGTTTCAAGGTCAATAATATTAACCCCCTTAAAAGTTGCTGTATTTAAGTTTTTGACTCTTCTAAAGCATAAAAATACCACAATGTATGTGTTTGCAGATATTTAAGAAACATGCCCAGTGAACATTGTTGTTTATCTTAAAAACAATGCTGAAGTCAGATATTATGCTTTTGTTTTCCGTGCCAGAACGCTGTCTTTGTTTTGGGTTTTTTAACCCGCCCAGTGCCAGTTTAGCCAAGTATATTTCTGCACTCTGGGTTGCCTTGGTGGAAAACCTCATATTTCTTCCATTGAGTCAGAAAGGCTCTCAAAGCATGTGCCTGTGACTGAAATGTGACCTCCAGTGCAGACTCTCAAATGAGATGCTGATTCAGAGTTTCATATGAGGTTATTAATTGGCAAATAATATAAATATTATGAACATAAACATTAGGTGAGCAGGTTGCATTGTAACCCCATGTCCTAACAACACGCTATGTGACGAGATTTGCAGTGGTAAGCAATTTGGCTGTTTGCACAGGATAAAACATTACAGAAATTTAAATAAAGTCGATCAGAAGCACAGAATATGCACAGAATACGCTCCTTAATCTGGCAACCTGCACTTGCGTTTGATTTGATCCAGGAATGCAATACCTAGTTCAACCACTGGGTGTAAAACTTTTAAACTGCACCTTTTAAAGGTGATTGTCTTTAGACAATTTTTTGCTGTGCTGGTTAAAAGTCTCTATACAGTCAAATAGTAATGGTTAAAGTAAATGATCTACATGTATTTAAATCTATTCTATATTCTGGATAAGGCATAAAACTAAAAATTGTTCATCCATTTTTTTCAGCACTTTTTTTAACTGTCGTATAATGATTTGCTTAATTACCCTAGCTTGCCTAATTAACCTAGTTAAGCCTTAAAATTGCACTTTAAGCTGAATACGAGTATATTAAATAATGTCTAGTAAGACATTGTTTACTGTCATCATGGCAAAAATAAAAGAAATTAGTTATTAGAAACTAGTTATTAAAGAGCCCATATTGTACATGAAATAGGGTCATATCTTGGTTGTAAGGGTCTCCAACAACAGTCTAATATGCATGCAAGGTCAAAAAACAAATTATCATTAAAAACGAATTATCCCAGCGACTCCCATATGAATCGTCCAGTGATTAATTTGTTCCCAAACCCCTCCTTAGCGTGAAGCTAATCTGCGCTGATTGGAACGACGACAGTCTGTTGCGATTGGTCGACACTGACTGCCTTCAGTGAGAGACAGAGTGAAATGCCCAGCAGCTAATCAACAATATATAAGTAGTCACAGAGCATACACGCTTTATAGTGTAAGGCGTGGATTTTAGCTGCCAGTGGGTGAATGTAAATACAGACGATGGACTTAAAAATATCGACGACTAACTATTTTATTGAGCAAAAACTCCAAGAACTGGTGAGGAGATCTCCTAGTTTGTCACACTCTTTTCTTTTCACAGACACACACACACACACACACACATATTGCCCTCGCACGCACGCACGCGCACACACACACACACACACACACACACACACACACACACACACACACACACAACCCTCCTCCGGACGACAACGCACGCTCAACACATACACATATAACCCTCCTCTGGACGACAACGCGCTCACGCGCGCACACACACACACACACACACACACACACATTACCCTCCTCCACGGAATGAAAACAAAGCAGCACCCGTCACGTTTTTAACGTGGCTTTACACACGATATGAGAATAAAGCGAGTTAACAAATCACAACTAAATACATTTGCAAGCTAGAGTAAACGTGGCAACAACTTTATTCGCTCGTATTTACACTTGAGAAATGGAGGAAGAAACCGATCCATGTCCTGACATGTCCATCAGTTTACTGATCCTTCCTTTAACAAACGGCCAATGAAGTATTCTTTGTAGCATGTAGTTTCCAGCTGCTCAAGGGTTATAATGCTGAGGTTTCATTTTTGGGTAGAGACCCAATAATATCCATCTGCAGTGTGACTTCGATCAACCAGCATGTTTGTTTGTGTGTGTTAGAAGGTGGGGCTGCAGGTTTCAAATCTCCCGGGTTTGCGCATGCGCGTGAATACCTTGGTTTCGTTATTATGTCATGGCGAAACACCTAATGACTCGTTATCAAGACGACTCGTTTGAAGCACCATGAGTCGACTTTTTTATGGATGAATAAACAGTTTTAAACACTGTACACTTACAGATTTAAGCCTTAGCTGGATATTTCACTTCACTTAGAGCTGTTACACACTCCATGGAAGGGCATTTTCAAAAACCCATAATATGGGCTCTTTAAAACTATATTATAATTCTAAACTAAATTAGAATTATGTTTAGAAGCGTGTTGAAACAGTATTATCATTATGTTAAACAGAAATTGGGGGAAAAATGTATAGGGGAGCTAATAATTCAGAAGGGATAATAGTTCATCTTAGTAGACTCTCAGTAGACTTCATCTGCGCACACACACATTTTAAAATTTCAGAAAATGTGTGTGGGGATTTCATTACCCTTAAATTTAGTTGATTGTGAAGTCAGAAGTGAATTTAGATGCAGCAGTTCACAATTCTCTTCACCTGTTTTGTCTATGTCTTGCTCTCTATAGAAAGTGGTTTAATGGAGGACCAAAATGATCTCATTGAGCCTAATAATGGCTCTTCATCAAGCACACAGGACCATGAAGAACCTGTTGAAGAGCAACAGAAGGACGGATCGACAGAAGATGCAGACCACAGCCAAGAAGAACAACAGGAAGTCTCCATGAGCCCAACACAGAACAAGCAAGAAGTCCAAGAAGACATCCAGACTGACCTGGAGTTGAATGAAACCCAATCAGAGAACAAACAGGAAGAGGAAGATGAAGATAAGGTGGACACATTCTTCAGTACCATGAGCCACAGGTATGAGGCGCCTCCATTGCTGTAATCCTGAGGGAACAACATGAATGTACTTCACACATGTACACTTTTCAGAATGCGATTGTTGGTTTTTATATAGTAATGTGAATTTTAACTTATGAGCAAACACTTTTTCTTAGAGTTTTGTTTATAGAGTTGTTGCATCATTTCAGTATAAATCTAAACTGAGGGACTAGAAATCTACACGGAGAAGTAACACTTTATTAAACGGTTCCAGTAGTTAGTGTTGCTAAATGTTTAACTTAAATAAACAATAAACTGTACTTTTATTACATTGTTCATATGTTTAGCATTAGTTAATTAAAATACAGTAGTTCATTGTTAGTTCTAATTAACTCATCGTGCATTTACTAATGTTGAACATGGATTTAAAGATGAGGTATAATTTATTAATGCTACACAAGTATTGTTCATCCTTAGTTCAGGTTAATAAATGCATTACTAATGGAACCTTATTGTAAAGTGTGAGCACATTTTTCATGGTTAACTAAGGTGTAACGCTATAAAGTGTGTCTTGTGTTAAAGGACACTTATTTAGATTAGTTGCAAGGTCTATTCAAAGAATCTGAAATTCTTCTGGGGAAAAAAATGACTTATTTGATACTTCACAAAAACGATCACTTGTAATTGAAGTGTGTGTGTAATTGTTGCACTTACTCTACCCATTGTGAAATATTATTGATCTTACGAATGTGATTTTGTTTCTTGTGCAAAAATAAGACTCCTTTACTCTGAACACTTTTTGCGTCTCACCTGGTTGGATCTCAATGTAAAAGGCACTTTCCACAAATAGGGTGCACTTTGATACCCTGTTCCCCTTTTTTAAACATTAGAAGCCTTCTTGAAAAACTAAACTAAGCATTTGGTAGGGAGAAAACTGTTATCTAGTAGTATAACATCATGCTTTGAAAAGTAGTTTTTAACCAATTAAGTTTTTCACATCACAGGTATTAAGCTCCTAGTAAAATACAATAGTGTTATATAAAATTTTAATGAATCAATTTTTAATGAAAAAATTAGGTGTTTTCAAAATCTATTTTTAGTTATTTGGAAATACTAAACAGCCAATCCTGGTACCAAATGCTACCTTTTGTTTTGATAAAAAAAAAAAAAAAAAACTCACATTCTTAAACATTTTATTAAGCGAGGAACCATAATCAGCTGCAACCTTCATCAGACACTCCTGTCTTTTAAGGTTCAAGAAACCCTCAAGTACTTTTTTTGAGATTTCAACAGATTTGTGTGCGTTAAGCATCAATTAAGACAATGTTAGCACCTGTTAGCTTTAATTTTGTGGAAAACTGAGAGTAGTAAGAGTAGTACGAGAATTGGAGAATGGCAGATTTTGTCTTTTATTAGTTGAGTTTGTTCACATTTAGACACATCACCGTGCTGCTGTTCACCTAAATCCTTCAGATTTACAGCAGGGCTATTGGTTGAAATAGACAGGGCAAGAGACCTGATGCACTGAGTCTGCATTCAGACTGGGGGATTGAGGGAGAAGTCCTCATTTATAGTGTTTTTATAAACACGATTATCTTTAGAATATTATAAATTGTGGTTGTGTGTATATGAAATTACAAATAACAAATGTAGCAAGGCAATAAAATACTGTTTATTTCTTTGCATTTTAACTTATGTAAACTACTGTATAAAATCATGGGTCTCCTCACAGTTTGTGTCTCATTTTGTGAGCTAACTGACAACAGTTGTTCGCTCCCCTCCTTCTCCCCTGCTCTGCTGGCCATTCTCACTCCTGCATCTCTACCCCCATTATGATGCATTTTTAAAAAAATTCTTAGGTAGACTTGAACTGAAAGTGGGGGGTTTCATGGCCCTTTAATTACTAAGTGCGGTTACACTGTTCTTTTTTTACCATAGACTTTCAGTGAGCGCAGTATTAGAAGTCGAGATCGCATTTATGTAATAGCCTACAGCATGTGGATCTCTTTGCTTGCGCACTGATTTCCTCTGCTCGTGCAAAACTTTCTGCACGCCCCCCAAATATAAGCCGCTTCAAGAGCGCGCAGATCTTGTGCGCTGTCAAATAAATGCTGCTGAAGTGCGATTTAGTGTGTTTATGCAACGAGTATGTCTCCAGCATTTATTAGATTTGCTAGGAATATTTATGAATGTCTCCCTAATAAACCTAGAGCGATGTTAATGCGTCCTGAAGTAAAGTGGTACGGCTATACCTCGTGTTTGCTGGCCTCATGCATCACGCGCCTGTCAGTCAGCCAGTCAGTCAGCACGTAACCTTAAAGGGTTAAACAAAGAGCGCACAGCACTACAACTGTTACAGAGAAGTTTGCACTGTTATAATTCACTTACCCTTTAATACGTTTTGGTGCGATTATTACCCGCTATTAAAAAAATAAAACGTTTTGAATGAGAAGCTGTAATTTTGCCGTGGCGCCCCGCCATGGAAGAATGAATGTAGCGGAAACCATGACTTCCATTCATACATATGCTAATGGGACAGATCGGAAATGCTAGCTTGTGCAACAAGTTTTGCAGTTTGCTGCATTTTAACTATTCGGTATTACTCAACAGCTAAACCTTTTAGTAATGCTACCTTTTTGTTTTGATTCCAAAAAAAAACCTTCACATTCTTTAACATTTTCTTAAATGAGGAAACATATTTAGCTGCAACCTTAATCAGACATACCCGTCTTTAATAACCAAGAGCTTGTTCAAATCATACTAAATCTGTGTTCACACTGCACTTTTCTCCCCATAGACTTCCATTCATACGCATGCGAATGCGACAGATTGGAAACGCAAGCTCGTGGAAAGTTCAAGCTTGGTGAACTCTGACCTGCGTAATCACATCACGTGGCTGCATAAAGGCTCGTACACACCGAGGTGCTTTTCGTTTGTGTTTATCGTCAGTGTTTTTCGAGACATTTCTCCAGATTCAAACCCAAGCAATTTTCACCATGCGTCAAGAAGAAGAGTATGCAAAATCACTCATTGATGTTTGATGGCGCTACAAAACTTTAAGCTTCTGACACCCTCTTGTAACAAAAGAAGAAGACTGAAATTTGACAAGTTTGTTGTTAAAGTTACTGGCAATTCAAACAAGCATGGATGGTTCAAGAAACAGCTTCAGCTCTAGCATTGAAGAAATGATTATTGTTTACCAGTGCAACAGGCAGCTCCACATTTATATCGCCTCTGGGCATCTTCTTCATTGTGCACTCGCATTGACAGTTTTGCGTTTGAGCACCTCCAAGTGCTGTTTACTGTAACTTCAGCAGCTCTGTGCACGTGAACAAAAGTGGCAATTTCAAGTGCGGCGCGTCAAAACAAAAAACAAGCATAAGTCGTTTCTTCAAAAATTGATGCTTTTACGCCTGACATTTTGCGTGTTGGTGTGCACGGTCACATTGCCGTCCTTTATTTAGTCACGAGGCGTTAAACGTCGATGGAAAACATGAGCAAAGAGCATCCCGGTGTGAAACGAAGATCAAAATGTGACCTCTCTGTACAGACATTTTAAATATGGACCAGTCACCCACTTTTTAAAAATGTCTTATCTTGTTTAATCTCACTCTTTTTTGCAGCACCATATGCCAGAATGTTTTTGTAAATGCTTTAGTTAACCTTTAAATAACAAACAAACATTTTCAACTTCCATTGTTAAACATGTATAACATTATATAACAAACAAATATAACAAAATAATAATAATAATAATAACCTAAATAAACCCTAAAATCATAGTAATACAAATGAAAATGCATTCGGGAGGTCAATTCATACAAGAGGGAGCTTTGAGGCACTTTGTTTTACCTGTTTTTGTGGATTTAAATAAAATGTTGAAATAATTTTTAAATGCTTTGAAACAGGGAGACACTTCTCTATATGAACAATTCTAATCAAATTTTAACTTGAAATGATCATAACCTTTGCATAATCAAACTCTACTGTGACTGTGGCATTCAGTTGTGACAGGTGTTAGTTTGATCAGGGTTGGAGCTATACTCCGCAGAAAGATATTTCCAGAAACAGTATTAAATTCCCTTGATATAACTTCATTTACGTTGATTACAATATAATTATTATTTTTTTTTTAATAGTATATTGATTGTAGCAAAATATTTACCTTTAAATAAGGGTTTTATTATTTCCACAATACAGGTTGTGTGGTCAAAATTGAATTTGATCGATTATATCAGAATTTCGATTAATAAATTAAAAGTTAATGCAAAATTCACAAAAATACTATTTACTATGTTCACATAAGCTAGTCCTTAATTTGTTTTCCACCCTATTGAAATCCCTTTCATTAAATTTAGATTTAGATTTACAACATTTGGTGACATAGTTTGCATAAATCTAAAATAATGTAACAAAAATAAAATCTAAATTAAAATGCTATTTAAAAAAGCTAATTTTACATGCATTGTGTACAATATGTATAATACTTTGATAGACTTTCTGAAGGTAACCATGTTTGTGGAAAGTTCCAATACAATTAACTAAATGTCTCACAAAGTCGATGTAAAAGCATGTAAAGCTTTGAAAGGCAAATAGTTCATGGTTAAACATTTATTATGGTATGTTTTCTTTTAATCGCTCGAAATGAAGCCTGGCCTGTGATGATGGTTTGTAGATGTTTCTATTTTCTTTTTGCTTTTTAATTCTTTCATCTTTTTTGTGCAACGATGAGGTCATCAGATAACAACTGCACTACTCTGTTCCTTCATTTGGCTTAATTGAATTGAACCAGTAATGTGATCAAAATATGATCAAATCAGTGTGTCAGTGTTCAAATATTAAAACCTTTTTCAGTATTATTATATCATTGTGAAGGTGTTAAAAATGTCTCATTTACAAAACCTGTAATTAATTTGAATGTGTGCTGTTAATTAAGGACTGCATGCTCTGTTTGTTTTTCTTCTGCTTTGGCTATGTTTGCTTTTGTATTCAGTGTTTTATTTCCTCAAATAAATGTGTGCTTTGTTGGCGTGTGCACTAACGTATTGTCCTTGTCTGAATGTCTGTGGTTTGTTTTCTTGTAGATTTAGTGATATAATACTGGAGGAGGACAGTGGTATTCCCACACAGGCCTTTTTGGATTCTTGCTATGCTATAGTACCAGTTTTAGGTAGGACACTCTCTATCGGTCTCTCTTTTTCTCTATTTTCTGCCCATTTTGTTCCTTTATCTGTTTCTTCCCTCAAACCCAGCACACTCATTATCTGCTCTCATTGGTGTCATGCTTATTAAAGGTGTATTAATGCTACGGGGAACACTTATTTCTGTCATTCTGTGCATGTGCTGGCTCACCACGTGCCCTTAATTTAATTTTTTTTTTGTTTTTTTTGCATTGTGCCTATTATTAGTCACATTAGCACCTAATTTTACAACAGGCATGGTCATGCATGATCTGCTATATGATTGTACTGGGAAAGTTTGGTGAGTATGTGGCCAAGAACGAAAAAAGTCAAATCAGCAATCACAAAGGATATATGCTTTTAATTTCAACTTCAGTTTAGTTTATTTCTAAAGCACATTTAAAAACAACACAAGCTGGCCATAGTAGTTCACAATTAGATACTGTGACGTGCTGCACGATTAAAACAAATATAATGCAAAACACAGATGAACATACTACACCATAGGTGTCAAACTCAATTCCTGGAGCACTGCAGCTATACCCAGTTTTGCTCCAATCCTAATCAAACACAGCTGATCCAACTAATCAAGGTTTCAAGACTACTAGATGCTCGCAGTTTTGAACACCTTGATTAGTTGGATCAGCTGTGTTTGATTAGGGTTGGAGCAAAACTGTGCAGAGCTGCAGCCTTCCAGATATTGAGTTTGACACCTATGTACCATAATGGCCACTAAGTGTAGATATGTGTAATGATTTATTTATATGAGCATTGATTTAAAACAGTCAAAGAGTCACAGAATCTGATGTTAAGAGGAAGTCCAAGAAGGCACGATAACAGTCACCTCTTTTTGCAACAAAGAGGGTCAAAGTCTGGGAAGATCTTAGTGGTTTGAACAAACTGTGTCTTTGTAGTGGTTTGGAGATATATTCTGGTCCCAGACCATGAAGTCCTTTAAAAACCATTAGCAGTACCTTATATTAGGGATGCTCCGATCAGGATTTTTGCACTGATACCGAGAACCAATTTCTTGTCATGGTGATCGGCCTAAGTACCTATTCTGATGCTTTAAGCTTTATAATGCATAAACCACATTTTCCCTTTAAGTATGATAATTAAGTGGAAATCTATCTTTACCTTTGAGAATAAATTAAAGATGTTGCATAGAATTCCTTAAACATGTCTTTTGTAACCATTTAGTGTGGACATACAGTTAAAATACAGAAGTATTTTAAAAGAAAATAATGGATACAACAAAAAAATTAAGAAAAATCTTTAACAAAGCAATTTGCAAACATTGCAAATGATGAAAGAAAAATTCAACATGTCTCAATGAAGTTCAGAGTGCATATTTGATGCATAAGAAGTTAAAATGCACACCTATAAATCCCATTACTTTTTTACAAAAAGGACATGGGTCCATAAACTACAGTTTATAGCAATAAGTATATTATGATAGTTTTATTAAATATTAAAATATTAAATATTAAAAATTACTAGTTTTTTTACCCTAATATATCCTGCCAGGTTTTAATGAACGTTCAATATTGTTGAAAACATAGAACTTTCAGTTCTGATATGATTAAAGGTTTCAGTTTTTATATGTCCTCTGCTTGCAAACGCATAAACAAACAATTGGGATTGGTTCATGAGATTGGCCAGATTAGCGAGTACCGATCGAGTCATGAAATGTGATTATCGGCCGATACCGATCTCTGGCCGATCGATTGAAGCATTTCTACCTTTTATTGCACTCTATACTCAATAGGCAACCAGTGTAGAGAAACCAGGGCAGTGTGATATACTAGTGCACTTCCTTGTTGCATCATGTACAGTGAGCTTTTTCGCCAAACCTAGGTACACAGAGTTACAATAGTCAAGTCTGGAAGAACCAAACACATGAAGTTTCCAAATCGTTGAAGCTTAAAAAGTTCTTCATCTAAGCAATGCCAATCAGATGAAATTGCGTATTCATATTGGTTGCAAGGGGCTTGAGCGAATGGCCAGTTTCTCCACTACTTTAGATGCATTAAAAATCCTTACATCTGATTTTGAGGCATTTAACTGCAAAAGAACTAGATGTCATCCAGACCTTTATCTCATCCAGTCACTCCATCAGGGACCAAAAATGGCCTAATCATTACAACTTAAAGGAAGATACAAATAGATGTCATCAGTGTAACAATTATTCTCCTAAAGAGGCTATGTGCAGAGTTTCAAAAAAGTGACACTGGTTGCCATTAAAGAGTTAGTACACACATAAAATGAAAACTGTGTTATTAATTACTCAGCTTAAAAACTCATGTCATTCTAATTCTTGGAGACATTTCTTCATCTTCAGGACCCAAATTAAGATATTTTAGATAAAACCCCAGAGCTCACTCATTCCCTCATTGGTTAATGTATTGATGTAGTTTTTGCAGATGTCTACATTTAAATGGGAATTTTGCTTTATTGCTGTTTTTTTATGGGTGGTGGTTGATCATCGGGAAGAAAGCAGTGTGTAGGTAATGTAGATCATTTGACAGCACGTAAACTCGATAGTAATTTTACACAAACTTTTTTTTGTTTTTTTTCTCATTTACGTAGTTTCAGACATTTTGCTATTGCTATGTTTAGGTTTTTTTAGTACCATTTTATTCTTTTTCCACTCATCAACTGGCTGTCACTTACGAGGAAAATGTCATTCCAAACTTAACAGGAAAATATAAATTTCCAGAGCTTCGGCTACAAAATGTCCTTTTCAAAGACTGGGTTATTCTTGTTTTTCTTAGTTTAAATTTAAAATCTGAGCTAAAATATTTATGTGTACATGACTGCTATTAAATTAATAAAAAATATATTCAAGATTAAACTATTTTAATATTATGCAAAGCACAACAGTGTCATGTAAATTCAGCTTTTTAGTCTGTGAAAGTCAGTATCAAAGTCAGGGAATTTAATATATGGCTTGGAGTGGAAACAATTTGTTTGAGTTAAATGTAATGTAATGTCTTTTACTGTCACTTTGAATCACTGAGGCCATTACTGTATTAACTTCTTGTCAGGGAAAAGTATTCTACTGACCCCAAGCCTGTTTAGTCAGAAATAACCATCAAGGTACTTACAAATGCTTTCTCCCCTCAGACAAGCTTGGACCAACTGTCTTTGCTCCAGTTAAAATAGATTTTGTTGGAAACATTAAGGTAAGTGTCATACATACTTCATTGGTTTAAAATTTTTAATTACATGAACAGTGAATTCAAACTGGGTTATTGTGTATGCCATTAACATTAGAGGTGAAAATGCAATGATACATTAGATCTGATGATTTATTTCAGTGCGTCCTGTACATTCATAATGGCACGTAATGATTTTTTTAAAGTCTAATAATTTCCTCCTTTTGTAATAAAAATTCTACATTTTGCAAACAGATGTGCAAAAGTCTTTGACCACCATTAGATTTGTGGTTTCAGCTGTGGTTTATGACCATTTGTAATCTCTCTGTCTCTACATGAACAGTAAAATCAGATGAAAATATTATAGAGATGTCTAATATTATATAATAAACGATTAAATGACTTGGTAAAGTACTGACCCAAGCCTAAAATACATAAAAAGCACAGTATAAGCGTATTATTTGTGCCAATGAGATTCACACTACATACTGACTTTAACAGAAGAATCAATTTTGTCCAGATTTTATTTTTGAGTATATTTCCTTTCAGTCTGCGTCTTAATAAAGATACCAAAACAAATCTTAAACCTTTACTTACCGTACTATGCAATGTAACCAAATCAGTCTAAATCAGAATAATTTTGGCAAGAGCAAATTTTTAGTATGTGTGTTAGAGCAGCATTAGTGAAGCACTTTTATTTATATTTTTTTACTTGGTGACCCTTTAAACTAATGGTCCATTAGTTAATGCTTTTACTAACAAGAACAAGCTATTAGTTATACATTTATAATGGTATTTATTAATCTTTTTTATCATTAGGTAATGTTATTTAAATTAAAGATATTTAATTAAAGATATTTAATGTGCTTATATTAACTCTCAGTGCATTAACTAATGTTAACAAGCACAACTTGGTATTTTAATAATGTGTTAATGTTGAACAAAAGATTAATAAATCAATTAATGTTGAACAATGATTAATAAATTCTTTACAAGACTATTGATAGTTAGGTAATGTTAGAAAATACATTAACTAATGGACTATTAATTTTAAGTGTTACCTTTTTAGTTTTATTTTATTATTAATTTTTTGTATTTTTTACAAACAGGTTAAAATGCTAGAACACTTTACCAATAGACTGTACTTGTTTTTCGGAACCACAAGAGGGCATAATTACCTGACCTGAGAGATAATCTTTTTTGATTTGCTCCATCAGAAAATTCAGCAGAAGGTGGTGTCAGATCCGGAGAGTTTTCCCACCTTACAGAGCATTGTGCTGCATGAGGTGAAAACGGAAGTGGCGCAGGTGCGAAACTCGGCCACAGAGGCGCTCCTGTGGCTCAAACGTGGACTCAAGTTTCTCAAAGAATTCCTCTATGAAATCAACACAGGGGTCAAGGACGTCCAAGGAGCTCTTTGTAAGTCACATGATCAAATGTAAAAATGATTTGTGATGTGAAAAGAATGTGTTTCAGAATTCACAAGCCACTTCATTCACCTACAGGAGCTTACTTTTATAAGCCTTAAAGTGGTTGATGTGGGAAATTTATAAATGATTTGATGCAAGTAAAAAATATATATAAGATGAAAAATTTTAAGTTTAGTCTATCTTTACAGTTATACTAAACATTTATGTTAATTCAATGAAGAGACCACATTTGGTCAAGTCAATTAATCGAGTTGTTGATTTTCCACTACTCACTGATGGAACTAAGGGAATCACTTTCCTCAAATCATTTGAGTAGTCTCAACTTATCAGGGTGTACAGTGTATGCTGTAATCAGTGATTGTTGATTTCTCCTTTTGATTATTATTTTTTTCTTTCAGATAATGCATATGGAAAAACACTACGGCAGTATCATGGATGGGTTGTTCGAGGTGTTTTTGCAGTAAGAATTGCTCTTTCAATTTCAAAGTAAATGTTTTGTCTGAAAACAGACCTAACCTTTTTTTTCTGTGATGCTGTTTTTTTATTTATTTTATTTAAATTTTTCCATATACAACAATGGGCTGTTAATATTTAAAATGACAATATAGAATAAATCTCCAAGAAAATAATGTCTTCTTTAGTGAATCCATATTTTTTATAGGAAAAATTATCTTTAAAACTAAACATCTGGTTAGCATTGTCCATCATCAATATTTTTATTTGAGGTGCATTATGTAGTGCATTAGGGCCAACAGCTGAATCAGGCTACAGTACGTTTTGTCTGTCTCTCTAATGCACCTATTGGTGCTAATGCACCAAAAAAGCATTATAAAAGAAAGAGAAAATAATGATGGAGTGCAATCAGCAGAATGGTTTATAAAGGTTTAAAAAAAATGTGGTGACCATTTAAGGAATCGCTCGAATCCTTTGGTATTGCACCAACTGCAGCAGTTCTGGGATGATATCTACAAGGTCTCAGAGATATATTTTTTGTTGATGTTCCCTTTGATCCAACTGTGGCAGTCCTAGGTATGGTGCCTGAGAGCAGGGGGCATTATTTCAAACATTGCTTTCTGCAGCATTAAAATGGATTATTTCTAACTGGCTCAGATCAGACCCACCTAAGTATGAGCTATAGATAAAAAATAAATACAAATTAGAGAAATTTACTAAATTTAAAGAATAACCTATTGCCTTAGCCTCCAGATAAATATATTTAAATCAAGATGAAACCCAATTCTAAGAATTATACTTTTAAACATACAACGTAGATTTAGTAAACAGCTACATTATGTACATGACAGTCATCTCCGACACCCCCACAATCACGTTTTATCTTTTAACTTCAATACAATATATATATATATATATATATATATATATATATATATATATATATATATATATATATATATATATATATATATATATATGTTTTAAAATAACACTGTGCAAATGTCTTTCTGTTCTTTTTTTCTCTCTTTTTTTTTCTTTCCCCACTTTCTACTTGCTACTTTGTAATAAAATATTTTTTAAAGAGTTACACACACACACACACACACACACACACACACACACACACACACACACACACACACACACACACACACACACAGATTCATCAAAGAATACATTTATTCACTTACCATAGCTATGTGAGACACTTTTCATTATGGATTGAAATAAAAATCTGCCAACCGTTGCTAGTGCTAGAAAAGCTCAAGATCATTTAAAAATAAATAACTAGTTTAGGTAAAGTAACTTTTTACATATCCGCACAATTGTGATAAATGTGATACAGATTTTTACAGACTTTATATCAAATAAGAAGGTAACATTGAGTAATTGCATATAAAAAATCCTACCTTTTTTTTTTTTTTTTGGCACAGAAAATAGTTTTAAATAAAGCAGCGTCAGAGTAACACTGCAGTGTTTTGCTCCCTAATTAAAGGCATATTTCACCCAAATATTAAATCTCTGAAGAGAGTCATCAAGAATGCTGGATAATGGGACCCACTGACATCCATGGTAACTTGTTTCCCTACTATCAAAGTCGATGGGTACCATCAACCAGCATTTTTCATGATATCTGCTTTTGTGTTCAACAGAATAAAGAAAGTCATAAAGGTTTAAAACCACATGAGATGGAGTAAATGATTGGGTCATTTCAGTGAACTGTCCCTTTTGTCTGTTTTTGAAAAAAAATATGTTTAGTGAGCCAGTGATTCAGTGATGCATTCATAAAGATGCTTTGTTTCTAAATAAGTCAACCATTTTAAATGAACAATTCAGTGACTTGCTCAATAAGACTGGTACTTGTTGTCACCTTCTGACAATTGTAGTGCCATATTTTATTTATTCATCATAGTTGTAAAACAGCCAGGGTATTAACACAAAAGTTGCTATTATATGGTATGGTTTATCTTAGCTTGATTCAGTTTTCATTTCCCCCTCAAGTTAGTATAGCTTAAAGTGGGTGGGGTTATTGCTATGGTAGCTCTGCCTCCACTGCTGTGAAATCATTTTGCTGAATCTGCTCCTTGGCTACCAATGAAAAGATGGTCAGGACCTCTTCTACTGACCACAATGCTTTCATTTCAAATGTCTTTTGCTAGTGGTGGATAAAAATAATTTAATCATGCGGACCAACAAATCTGATTATTTAAATAGAGCAGATTTAGCGTATCGTAGATAAAATCTAATAGTGCCAGTAGTGATGATCCTCTCAAACTAATCAGTGATCAGCAGTGTTTATACATCATGTTTTGGTCTCTGTATGGTCACTTAGAACCTCTAAAAATACTAGCTAGAAGAACACAGTGGAAAAGCTCCAAAAAGTGAGGCGTACAAACTGAACTTCACCATACCTTGCCGTAGAAAAGAAACTAGTATTATTTTACACTCGGTAAAATAATATTTAATTATCGTTATCTAAACAAAACTATCAGGGTGTTATAATTATTATTATTTTCAAATTGTGCACCTCTTGACAGCATCGTGACTCAGTTTGTGTGTTTGTTTTGGTGTATGTTAGTTGGCTCTAAGAGCTGCGCCTTCCTACGAGGGCTTCATGGCCGCCCTGGTTTCTTATGAAGGCGATGAGCTGAAGGAGGGCTTTAGGACCGGCATGCATCGAGACCTGGACATCTACCTGCCAGCTATGGAGAACCAGCTCTCCATCCTGGACACTCTCTATGAAGAATACGGCTTGGAATCAGATGAGATTGTGTGACCAATACCAAACCCACAGTGGTAAAAATCCTGCTTCTGATGGAGCTCAGCGGTTTCAGGAGTTTAATCTCTCTGGTGTAACCGAAAAAATGAAGTTAGTGTTAAAGGCCATGAGGTTTCTGTAAGGGATGTCCAGTTGGATTGTGTCCGAAAACATGGCATCAGTAACAGTCATTCCTGCAGAATTTGAGTAGCCACATCAAACAAATAATAATAGATGGAGCGCTTTGATTCCAAGTGTTTTCAGGGAGCAGCAGTTTTTTTTTTCTTCTTTTCTAGAAACCTTCAAATGTTTTGTTGACACTGGTTGTAGGTCTTTTCTTAAGCGTGTATGCGTCAGAAGTCCAAATGGCAGATATGGTAAAGATTTTGTTTAGCTGGCAGTGAAGGTGTTAGTCGCAGTTTCTTTATTCACAGTAAAAGTGCAAGAGTGCTTCATATTACGTTTCTTTAGATGTTCACGTTTCATTCATTTTAGGCCAGCACAAAATGGAGGCATGCAGAGGCTTTTGGGAATCACAAAACAAGTGATTCATAAAAAAAAAAAACAAGTGCTAATGTTACAGGAACACTCTGCTTTTATTTGGAAATAGGCTTGTTTTACAACTCCCTACAATTTAAAAGTTAAGTTTTAGCATTTTTGAAGCCATTCAGCTTAATTCTGGGTCTAGATGAAGCACTTTTAGTACTCTTAGTTTACTGTAAATGGTTAGAAGAACATTAGCATCTCATTTATTTAAAAAAAGATTTGATATTTTTGTATTTAAAACTTGACAGTTTTGTACTTGCAATTTGTACTAAGATTCATGGAAAAATCAAAGTTGCTGCCATGTTCTAGAGCAGTGTTTCCCAACCACATTCACGAAGGACCACCAACACTTCATGTCTCCTTTTTCTGTCACACCCATTACAGGTCATTCAGTCTTTGCTAATGAGCCGTTGATCTGAGTCAGGTGTGTTTGGTTAAGGAGACATGAAAATGTGCTGGTGGTCCTCCAGGAACATGGTTGAGAAACACTGCTCTAGACCTATATGGCTAGCAACCATACCCTCATTCCGGTGTAATGATCAAGGTCGTACAATAGCTGAAACAAGCGCAATTAATTTATTGATATTATTATTAATTATATAATTCCCCCATCTGCAGCCATGGTAAAGCAGCAAAGTTCCTTGGTTCCTTATGCCAGAATAAGAGCATCATTTCTAGCCATAGTGACAAAATTAATGCAAAATTAAAAGTTGCTATTTTCTTAGTCTTAGTATCTGATATATTTACTGGAGATTCAAGCATTCATTGTTAGAAGATTTATGCGCAAATTATCAAAACTCTATCTGGATTTATTTTTATATTTTGGGCATATGCTAATGGTCTAATCCAATTCAATTGCTTATGCTTAGCTAAGAAAAAAAAATCTCTCACCAGACCTTGAGATTGACTGAATTGATTAAAAAAATGGTAAAACCCAATAATTTACCTCTAGGTGGGTTGTAAAATGAGCTTTTTCCTAAAATAAAAAGTATAGTGGAAATAGTATGGGCTATTTTTTGCTGTGATTTAAGCTTTCAATGTTCACAATCCAGGATTCATAGCATGATCAGTTTGGTTGGAGGGACCAAAGAGTTTCTGATTTCCTGAAGAAAAAAACATGTAAAAATGTTTCCCCGGCGACTTTATTTATTGACTTATTTATATGAATATCAAACTCTTGGTTTTTCAATAAGAATCACACTGTGCTCATTATTCGATCATATGATTGATGCCAATTTGTGAATGTTGCTTTGCATGGTTTTTGTTTTAATATTTCTTAAGTAATTCAGATTTAGAAGATGACGACTGTTCACATTTGAATCTAATTGCATTCCATAAGTTTTTAACTAAATTCCAACTAGCAGTTTTATATTTATAGGTTCTTATAACCTTGGCACATTTCTGTTTAATTAAAATTTGGACTTACCTTTTACTTTTTAATTCAATGTGTCCTTTGAAATGGACAGTTGACCTACAATAATTATAATATTGTAATTAGTTAAAGCCCTGATATGCCAGAAAAAAACTGGCATAATGCAGTTTTGAATGAAAACTAAATTTGTTTCAGGTGTTTGAAAAAGCTTTCCAAAAAGACTGTCCAGAAAAGCAGTATGTTCATAATCAGAATGAGACAATTTTCAAACATCTTTTAAGGTAGTGAGTAACTCACTCTTGTTTATTTGTTAACTGAGGAATATTAAGATTTCATTTAAAAAACAGACATGGCAGAAGAAGGAGTTTTACTTCCTTTAGGAATAGCACACACAAGATCCATGTTGCCATTCACAAGTATTAAAATGTCTATATGCTATGCAGTTTTATATGTATTTACTAATTGTAATTTTAAAGTTGTATGTCATTTATAACAAACTGCCTGCAGTGTCTTATTAATCTGTTTTTATTCTTTGCATATGCAGCTGGTGAATGATCTGTTTTCAAAGTCATGAAGAGCAAGAGGCATTATCCATTCTTGTGGCAGTATTAGACTCAAGTAATGTAACATGGTCTGTATGACACTCAATCCTTCAATATCAGGATGTGGTTGCTGGGAGACTCACCATAACAAGGATGATCACTAGACTCCATAATAAGGGCCTAGAATAGAAGGATTGTTTTTTTTCGTGTACTTGTGTATGTGTGACAAATGGAGAAAGGTTTCTGTTACTCAGAATAATTGTAAGCAGAGGCTTTCTTTGAGAATGTATTCCACAAAACATATGTGTAGATACCAAACATGTTTCTGTAACTAAAAAAAGCATTTATTAAATGGGCATCGTAACAGTTTTTAAATAAACTGGGTTCCATACACAGTGGAAAAAACTTTACCTATGCAGCGCTGCTCCATCATTTCCAGGGGCTGATGGGAAAGCATTCAGGAGGGTGGACTGCAGAGGGGAATTGGCACTTGGATACCAAATTAACCTCTCGCAACACCCAAAGCAATCTATCAACATCAACTTGGCCCATGAACAGAGTTTTCCAGTGACCTGAATTCAAGCTTCTTGGAAGGAGAGGTTTAAAGTTAATTGGATAGCAGCCATTCAAACAGAACATAAAATGTTCTTGATTAAGCAATATCACACATGCTTTTATAAAGCACTTCAATAAACGAGAAGTTAATGGAGTAGCTTACGTAATCAAATAGAACACATGCTGCTTTTCCATGTAAAAATAAATATTAATTTGCACAACACAAGTCAAAACTTCACTTTATAGAAATGTACAATATTGTGTACATATATAATATATTGTGTAGCATGTATGATGTTAAAAGCAACAGTCCAAGTACTGAGTCCTGCAGTACACTACTGAACTTGATTGATATCATATCTCCTCATTTACTGCAGGGCTGTCAAACTCAGTTCCTGGAGGGCTGTAGCTCTGTTTAGTTCCAACCCTGCTTCTACACATTTGAAGCCATGGTCACACTGGACTTCTCTCCCCATAGAAATCCATGAATACGCAGACCAGAAATGCAAGCTCGTGCAACAAGTTTCACAGTTTGCTGTTTTGGAAAGTTCAAGCTTGGTGAACTCTGATTTGCGACATGGCATCAAATGACTGCATGAGACCAATTGAAGTTTAAAACATGACCTCTCTGTACAGAAATATAAAATATGGACCAATCACTCGCTCGCTAATCATCTTGTTCAATCCCACTCCTTTTTACAGCACTGTACAACAGAATTTCACAAGCATAAACTCTAGTGTTACCATGGCATTACCTGCGTGTTTTAAAGGCTGCATTTACACTGCATGATTCAAGTGACTCTGTTCCGATAAAAAATAAATTAATTAAATAAATTCTTCCATGTGGCAAAGAGCGAATAAGTGTACCTCTGTAAACTGTGCCCATGATAAGTGCCTTGATAAGTGTGCCCATGTATGTGTAAGCAGGAAAAAATCACATGGATTCCGATTTACTCAAATCATATTCAGGCCTTGTTCATATGTGGAAATTTATGTGATATGAATCAGATCTGTGCACCCGTGTCTGCAGTGTAAGCAGGTACAGAGCATGCGGAAAGTATTCATAGAGCTTCACTTTTTTCCACTTTTTTTATGTTACAGCCCTATTCCAAAATAGATTTAATTAATTTATTTTCTCAAAATTCTACACACAATACCCCATAATAACAGCCATTTTCAGATCTCTCAAGAGATGTTTAATAGGATTTAGGCCTGGGCTCTGGCTTGGCCACTCAAGGACATTCACCGAGTTGTTGTGAAGCCACTCCATTGATATTTTGGTGGTGTGCTTTGGGTCATTGTCCTGCTGGAAGATGAACCGTTGCTTCAGTCTAAGGCCAAGAGCTCTCTGAAGCAGGTTTTCATGCAGGATGTCTCTGTACATTGCTGCATTCATCTTTCCCTCTATCCTGACTAGTCTTCTAATTCTTTCTGCTAAAAAACATCCCCACATCATGATGCTGCCACCACCCTGCTTCACTGTAGGGATGGCATTAGCCTGGTGATGAGTGGTGCCTGGTTTTCTCCAAACGTAACATCTGGCCAGTGGTGTATAGTAACTAATTACAAATCCTCAAGTTACTGTAATTGAGTAGTTTTTCTCAGAAATTGTAATTTACTAAGTAGTTTTAAAAATGTGTACTTTTACTTTTCCTTGAGTACATTTTTAGTGCAGTATCTGTACTTTTACTCTCACTACTTTCCTTCAATTTGCCGTTACTATTTTTTCTTGTGTATGGGAATTAGAAAAATCAGTCTTGTCCAATCAAATCACACATAGAAGGTAAATTGCATCATAATAAACTACTTCAAGACATGTGCACTTTACATTGCAGCAAACTGTTTGGAAGCATTTAGTATCCAAGAAGATGTTCAAAATCTTTACACGCATTGACCCAGAGACTGTTTAGATCAGGGATGCACAAGGCGGTTTCTCAATTCCAAGAACGCAGAGAACGGACTTGCGTTCTTGTGTAGAACGGTCTTGCCAGGTGTCCTCGGAAGAACAAACTCAGGAGACCACGAGGACAGAGAACGCATCCTTTGAGAAATGAGATGCTGCGTTCCTCCTGATGGTCACATGACCTTCATGGGTTTTAAATGGTAAATCATTTAAACATTACAGCTTTCATACAACGATTCATTGTTTTTCCCCCATTTCAAAATACATACTTTGCATAAAAATATTATCAATATACTCTGCACAATATAAATAAAACTGATTTTAATACGAATTTCAGCAAACAAACACCCTTGTTGTGTTTATTCCTTTATTAAGATGTCCATGGTATTGTTTACTTTCACTCTTTCATTTAGGGAAACTCCTGAGGTAAATAAGTTAAATCTCTAAACTTTAATAATAAATCTAGATAAAATGCTGCACTTCCGTCCTCACGCATCCTATGTTCTTGCTAACTTGAGTATTGGAACTGATGCTGCCGATGACGTTACACTAGGATGCAAGACCGCTGAAGAATGCATATTGAGAAACAGCCACATTAGCTAGGCCAGGTGCTTCTAATTGGGATTGACACTAAAC